TGCTGTGTTTGGTTACTGAGAAAGCTCATGAATAGGAAGATTAATTGCTCTAATTTTTACTTTCTTGCTTGTTCTAACATTTATACGACCCTGAGCTGAGGTTTAGTTAAACTCTTTTTTCCTTTTCCTGAGGGGGGGTTCCATAAGCTCTGTTTTAAACAGAGAGAAGGTATAAATTACTTGAAACTTTTGGAGTAAAAGTTGATTTTATTGTTTTAAGTTTTAAGTGGGAATGCGGATGCCGCTTTTAATTTTTGGAAGATTCATTTTTTATCTTGGCCGTTTTCAGTTTGTTTCGTATACATTTTTTGTACAGAAGTAAACGAATAAATTCTGCTCTTGACTCCTTATGTTATGTGATGCTCTTTCCTGTAGTTGATATGATATCTGCAATAGAATTCGACAAGAGTGGTGATTTCCTTGCTATTGGAGATCGAGGTGGCCGCTGCATAATATTCGAGAGGAAGGATGGGAAACATGTGAGAATTGCCTGTACACTTTCGAATCAGTCAATAAATTTTAAATGGATACTTTTCAAATTTGCAAGAATTTTTTGAATTCACTTGGGGCTATCTTCCTTGTTAGGCTGGTGGCTGTGTTGGTTTGTTTTGGCATCTATTGTTGGATGAAATTGGGTTTACGTTCTTTTTACCCTTAATTATTAATTGGCTTCTTAGACTTTAAATCAGCATCATTCCCGACATGAGCTGGAGCAGTTGGATTTCACATCCACCCAGCATCCTGAGTTTCAATTTAAGACTGAGTTTCAAGGTCATGAACCCGAGGTATGTATTAGAATCTTGTTTTTTACAAATGCAACGTATTATGGTGTGTGTTGATGCATGTATGGAGTATACCAGTGCATATGATTTATTTTGTGCAATGCTGATTATTATATTATCGCGTTATTACCTTTTACTCAGTTTGACTACTTAAAGAGTGTGGAAATTGAAGAGAAGATCAACAAAGTAAGATGGTGTGCAACATCTAGTGGATCCCAATTCATGCTTTCTACTAATGACAAGACAATAAAACTGTGGAAGGTATGAAATCTAATGATGAAATCATTTTAACTTCAAATGGTGGACACTGAGATTGATGGTAGTGTAGGACTTGGATTTGTTGGGAGTGGGACAGATATGGTTAGTTTGGTCATTGACAAACAACTGCTTCTAAGCAATAGAATTGTGTTCTTGGGTGAAAAAATGCATGGGAAGATTGGAAATTGGAAAATTAAAGTGCCAAATCATTATACTTGAAAAAAAGAACACTGAAAACGAGGATAGAACATTTTTGTCTTGAAAATCATTGGTAGTTTGCATACTTTATTGTCTAACAACATTGAATAATCACAACCACACTAGATCCATATACAACTCTGTTAATATTGCTTGGGAAATGTTAACGTGGTTGCTTTCTGGTTTTGGGATCAGGTCAAGGAATGCAAGGTGAAGAAAGTAAAAGAAATGAACACTCATCCATTTACATGTTTAGATAACATGCTTCTGGCTGAAAGGAGTTTCGTCAGTAGGGAAGATAAACCAGCTGTTGCGAATGGTTATCGCCAGGAATGGATGGAGAAGATCGCTAAGAATGCCTCACCATCTCAAGACATGCATTCCAAGGTTGATACCCACAGTATAGTAAAGCTATTTTTTTGTATTACTCTTGTGCTGTTAGAATCAGTTTTTCACAGTGCACAAGTTTATTACGTGACTAGGTAGCTGACATGGAAGATACTGCTCATACAAGATGCCGAAAGGTGTATGCTCATGCTCATGATTTTAATATTAACTCCATCTCAAATAATAGGTAAAGTTTGTGGGTATCTTTATCTCATTTAGTTACTCTTACTCTAGCTAAAAATTTCCTTGCACATAAACTTAGGCTATGAGAGAAGCTATCTTTGTTTTTCCTTTATGCAGACACGCCTCCTTTACTTGTTCTTAATTTGATTACTCTTATTTGTTCTCCAAATTGCAGAAACCATTTTGTAAAGTAGATAGTTATACACTTGCAGATGTATGCTTCTTCTAAGAGAGAATCTGTTTTAAACCTTGTACAGTGATTGTGAAACATTTCTTTCTGCGGATGATCTTAGAATAAACTTGTGGAATCTTGAGATCAGTGATCAGTGTTTCAATATCCTTGATATGAAGCCAGCAAACATGGAGGATCTTACTGGTATTCTATCCTCTAGTCTTTACATCTTATAATTTCTGTGAGCTTATATATATATATATATATACTAGAACATGCTATATTATCTTCAAACATTTTATATATTTTTTTTTCTGGATGACGATCTCTACCAGTTGTGATCTTAGTTTTGTTTAGTTGTGTTGATTTCATGCTTTTCCATGACCAAGATATATGTCACAATTGTGGAAAGATGGTTTGAATTCAAGAAAATGTTTGCTCAAAGGGCAGACGTATGTCGTTGTTTTGTAATCTGCACTAATTGATAAACTTTTATTCAGAGGTCATAACAACGGCTGAATTCCATCCCATTCATTGTAATCTGCTTGCATACAGTAGCTCAAGAGGTTTTATTCGTTTAGTTGACATGCGGCAGTCAGCTTTGTGCGATCACAGTGCAAGAATGTGAGTCTAAACAGAGTTTCTTCTCGTTTTTGTGATCTGTGTATTATTAGTTATTATCTAATGCACAAGGATGTTCTGATACTTGTTATTTGGGATTGGAGGGATTGACAGATTACAAGATGGAGATTCTCATGGGCTGAAATCATTTTTCACAGAAATTATTGCATCCATTTCTGATATGAAGTTTTCGAGGGATGGACGGCACATCTTAAGTCGTGACTACATGAATCTAAAGGTATTTTATACTGGTTGAGGTTTACTTTACGAGTTTATAGTTTAATCTTTATTTTAAGGACGGATTAAATGAGATGTTTATATAAATTTATTTATGATGGCATTTTTAAAATTCATGTCCTGTTATATGAGTTTAGTGAGACAGCGCTTACCCTTTTCTGCTGGTGTGGATTTATTTTGATTGATGCTTTTGTTTTTTTTTGTGTTAGCTCTGGGACACGCATATGGATTCTTCACCAGTTGCAATATACAAGATTCATGAGCACCTGCGTCCTAAGGTAAGGAAAAGAATGACTGTTTTAACTCCAAATTGGAGATTTTTTTTAATTTGTATTTATAGATGTATGGAATTAGGTTCATGGACAATTGGAGCATAAACTTTCAACATGAAATTTTCTCCACGTTAATGCTTAAACAACCTGTGAACTGACCCATGCAGCTGACTTATGGTATCTTTAGCTTTTACTTTTAAGTTTAAACGTGCAACCTTGCATACCCATATCTTCGTAGTCCCTACAGCTGACATCTTTTTTCCCCCTTGCAGTTATCTGAGTTGTATAACAATGATCGCATATTTGATAGATTTGGTTGCTGCTTCAGCGGAGATGGACTTCATTTTGCAACTGGATCTTATAGGTATGTCCTTTTCACAGGATGTACTCTCGCATATAAGTCCCAGTACTGTTATTGCCCATAAAAGTTGCGCAACTTGTGTTCGCCCAACTGTTACAACTTTCCTTTATTTTGACTTAGCAACCTAGTGCGCATTTTCTCCGGTGGAGATGGAAGCGAAGAAGGAGCTACAATAGAAGCTAGCAAAACTCCCAACAGGTATCCTCTCCCTAATTCCCCTCAAATTGTAAATTTTGGAGTTGGTGTAATCTAACCTTATAGTCAAGAGGGCAGGGTTCTATTTTGCAAATTTTTCTTTTTAGTGAAATGGTCTCCATGGACACGAATGATTTCCTCTACCCCTCACCCAAAAAGTGAAATGGTCATTTTGCTCTTACAATAAGGAAATAGCAACAGTACTTGAGAGTTGGAATTGCGAACCAATTCCATTGTCACTTGGAAAATGTACATAATTTCAGTGTTATACAGTATGCAGGTTCAGTTTTATTTCTTGTCTGTATCTTATTTTCCCTGATAGTTTTACTTCCGTTATGAACTTTAAAGCAGGAAACCACTTCTCCGGACTGCTCCAAGGGCTAGGAGGTCATCCTTGAGCAATCTGGCACGAGGATTTTACCGGCACGGTTGGGGTTCTCAACCTCATTATGTTTCTTTGCCTTCTTCAGACTCAGAGTATATCTATCTGCAGATTAAAACCTGTCTTTTCTGATTTTTCAGGGCATGAAAATTCAAGCTCGGGCAGTAATGAAAGTAGTTACGACCTAAGCTCCAGGCTACTACATTTGGCATGGCATCCAGAAACAAACTTGATTGCTAGTGCCGCTGGGAATAGCTTGTTCATGTATTATTCATAGTTGTGTGTAAAGTTACACTAGAGTTACACTTAAAAAAGTGACTGTAAAAAGGGTCTCAGCTTTTCCCACAAAGTATGCAGTAACTTAAAGTCCTACTCCCCTGTTTAGCTTGAGCCAGTAATGGTCGACATGGGACGGTATAATTGTGATTAGACACCACTAATCTTATGTTTTTCGTGGTAGGCATGGTGTATTATTGTTAATAACAATCCCTAAGATCTTGTGAAAATCTATAAAGATAAGATGGACAATCATTCCCCTTTATTGTTTTAGCCAAATTGAATTACCAAAAATCTCGAATCTTCTACCAAGAATCATGAGAGGCATTATTATACCAAACAAAAATGAGATGTTAACTTTCAAAGCATGTCGTTGCGTTGGATCTTCCTTCCGAATATAACTTGTATTAAAAAATAATAATAAATAAAATAAAATAAAAACTTATAAGACTATCTCAAATCAACTAAACTTCTCGACCTATGCTTAAGAAAAAATTAAAAAATTAAAAAAGAAACTACAAGCATATTCCCTTTTTAATGCTTTCGACAAATGTGTGTATGTGAACGCACATATCTTACGTTACATAAGCATTACGTGCCACAACTACCACACCAAGAGATAAGCTCAAGAGTATCAAAACATTGCAACTTGCAGACTTGTTTATTATTGGGTAGCTCAGATCACGCTGCCCCAAATCCTTCCTTCTAGGCACCAAGCTGCCCGTTGCCCGTAACCCTGGCTCCAGGTTGCCCTAGAAGACCTCAGATCCTTGATAAAAACCAAAGCAACCCCTTCATTTTCATAGCCAGCCTCTTTCGTTTTCCTCCTCCATTCTTCTTCTTCTTCTTCTTCTTCTGTATGCATTAGGTTATAGGTTTTTCTTCTTCTGTAAATATTGTTTTATCTGAATTCACGATAGTTATTTATCATCTCTCTGTCTTTCATCACTTGTGATGCTTCGAGATATATAGATGTGTGCTAGTAGATGCTTGATTATGTTTGTGATGTTCATCATTTTTTCTGAATTATTTTCACATACATACATATATATATATATACACACACACACGACGGTGTGAGTGATTGTTAGAAGAGTTTACGTGCAAAAATCTTCCATCCGCATGTAACAGTTGATGGGCAGAGCGGCCATGTTTTGCACAGATTGAATTCAGAAATTGAGTACTTTTTTTATGTGCTTCAATTAGCTGCTTGCTTCTTTAAGAGGTTAATGCGATTTCTGCAAACCTCTTTGGATGTACTAGCATACATACATTCATACATGATATAATTTTCATACATTTCCTCCATTATAAATTCGATATATATATATATATGATCATTTTCCAATTTGGTCCTTGTTTGTTGGCCTTTATAGGTTTCTTAAAAAGTCGAACAATATTAAGAAATCCTTTTTCTTTCCAAAAATAGCTCGTAAGGATCGCATAACAATTTGGGCTGCTTTCCGAAAATGGCATGTGTTTACAAATCGTTGGTTTCCATGGAAAAGCATTTGTCCCCTGTCGACCGAAAGTGACCCAAAAGAAGAAACTGCCAAAGGGGCTTGAAGTTATACGTGCCCTAAAAGGATAGGAGATTGGATAATTCATGGGCCGCTGCAGAAGCCCATCCAGCTCTGTTTGGACTAATTGGCCCCACAAACTTTTTTTTACTTTAAAAAAAGAAAAAGAAAAAGAAAATTTACTTGTGGAGGGGAGTTTGAACTTGAAACTTCTTCTAATGAAGTGGACTAGAGATTCCACGACTATATATTTCAACAAATGAAGCTGAGATTAACATTATCAAACTAAACTAATACATTTTTGTTTTGGTTAACTAATATAAAGTAGAGATTAATCACAACAAACGAAACTAATAGTTTGTTGCAAATTAATTGGACCGCTGTAGAATTTGGAAGTTTCTCGTATCTTTCTCTTTATATAATTAGTCACAAGAAAAGAGGAACTTACCATTCTTTCTATCTTTCTACTCACCTAAATCATTCTTTCTATCTTTCTTCTCAAGAGACTAAGCATGAAAGAAAACAAAATGATGTGTTAATGTTGTTGGATGGATAAGTCTCTATGAATAGATAAGCCTCCATGACTGTGGTCATAATTTCTGAATATAACGTTGTACTATACCAACCAAAGCCTCTCACAAAAAGTTGTGGTCTCAAAATCAGTGATCCATCCTTATGCCCAATTGCCCATATTAGCTTAGCCTCTCACAAAAAGTTGTGGTCTCAAAATCAGTCGTCTATCCTTATGCCCAATTGCCCATATTAGCCTAAGCTAAGTGGAGGAATTAGAAGAAATTGCTTTCTTCTCTCAAGAAGTTGCATGCAACATTGATGGATCCTTGTAGGGAAGATTTCAGAAAACACTCGCAAATTTGGCAAATCAGTTGTTAGTTGACAGATCCATTAATTACAAAAATATAATTACGCATATGAATTTGTTTACTAAATGATGTGAGAAATCGCTGTTATGTTTCTTCAAATTCCATTACTTTTAAGAAAAACCTATTGCATCATAGATTGATCAGATGGTCTGCATCACAGGACTATGGATGGTTTTACATATGGAAGTTACTGAGGATAAAATCTGAGGAGGTTAGCTAGCCATTGTATTCGTCGACCCAATAAAAAGGAAACTAGTACTTGACCCAAAAAACAAAGGTAACTAGTATATTATTAAGTGTAATAATAATAGTTATTACTTTTATAGAGAATTTTAAACATCCAATTGGTTGATTTCGGATACACCCTTTGTACGTATAAAATGAATCAGAAACCAAGTTGGATACGATTTGTTAGCAAATTAGGGAAGATTATTATAGGCTTGTAGGTAGCATTGGTACAATGAATAAGAGAAATTCGAACTTAAAATCTGAGAATCTGAGTGCTTTGCACTTTTGTTCACTGTAAATACAAGTGATATAAGAGAATAATTTACAAAACATTGAATGCATGAATAAACACACCTAATCATTTGAGTTACAAATCCAATAAGGCCCGTTTCGTTTATGGAAAGGAGGTTTGAAGATGAGAAATCAATTGCTTTCCCATGTTTAGTAAGTCCAAATATGGGAAATGGTTGACTGATACATGGGAAAGTGAAGCCCTCCTCCAAACTTGAGTTTTGTTTTCCTTCATAATGAGAAAGTTTGGGAAAATGAGCCAATATTAAATGCAGATTTTTCATGATCATTTTGTCACAATTAACAATTTAGAATTACAATATAACATTAAATGCAATCTTTTTTATTTGATTTAATATGTGTATAATTTAAGAATTATACAAACTTTGTTTTCCATTCATATTCAAAACAAACATAGGAAAAGAAATAAAGTGATATCTCTAGTTATTTTTCTGGCATTACCAAAAGTGAGAAATGAATCTTCCATTTTTGACTCGTTGGGAAATGACATGGAAAATGATTTTATTTTAAATCCGTTATGTGAAGCGTTAGTCATAATAATACACACCATTTGGGGTTTTCAACTAAATAAAGCCCACATTTTTATTTATTTTTGTTTCTTTTTTGACACATTTATGTATTTTTTTTCTTTGCCCACCCCACCCAACGTTTTTTGGTGGCAAGAAATTTACAAAATAAAAGACAAAATAAACGTTGAAAATATTTTATGGAGATTTGTGTGCAGCTATATTCAAATGGAAAACTCGGTCCCCACCCCCCGCAAAAAAAGGTTTAACAATCTGTGCCAAATAAAAGACGTTTTAACAATCTGGGATTGTGCATAAAACCGCCCAGGTTTCCGTGGAATAGCTCCAATTTCCAAAGACTGAGTTGGTGAAAATCTTCGAAGCTCCCAAATTTCTCTGAAACTTATGTTGGGCAATGGAATTTCCTTGTTAGAAGTTTGATAGTATACAAAGATTGAGGCTTTGGAGAGCAGAAGTTGGTGAAAATTTTCAAAGCCCACAACTTTCTCTGAAACTTGACTTGGCCAATGCGCTTTTCGTCTTAGAAATCTGATATTAGACAGTTTGGGTTGAGAAGAGATTTGTTTTTAGTTCCAATCGTTTACAGGTTACCACCATGGCAGTGTCAACGCAACTCCAATCTCTGACCAGTCTTGCTTCATTGACTAACCGCACTAAGCTCAACTTTCTGAGCAGCAGCTGCATACCTTTAGCTCCCAACACAAAACAAAGAAGCTCAGCTGCTCGAGTTTGTGCTCTGGTCTCTGCTTCGCCCATTGTTTCTGAGAGATCAAAGCCACCAATAGCTTCTTTCAATGAGGTACCAATTGGGTTTCTTTAATTCAATTTTCAGTGACTTGTGATTTATTTTATTTTTATTTTGGGAAGAAACAAATTTGGGTTTGTGAGATTTTGTTGTGGTTTTGCAGTTGATCGAGTCGTTGATTGATCGCGTGGATTTATCAGAGGCGGAGGCTGAAGCTTCATTGGAATTTTTGCTGACAGATGCTAATGAGGCTTTGATAAGTGCTTTCCTTGTATTATTGAGAGCCAAAGGAGAGACTTATGGAGAAGTAAGAATTCTTTTTAAAATGAAAAATATTCTCCATTACTAAGAGTTTCGAGGTTGGTTTATTTGTTTGACGTTCCGGTTTCTTTTAGGTACTTTTAGATTATTCTTCTACTACTGTTTAAACTTTTGTTTGTGAACTTTTCTTGTATCCACCAAATTTTAGGAATTATTTTGAAATTAATTATTTCCTCCTTTTCTGTGAATCTCTGAAATCTTATCAATTCAAATATGAAAGGGACTGTGATATTGGGACTAATTTGCATACTAAGTTTAGTCATCTTCTTCATGAGGGTGAGTGAGATGGCCCCATGCTAGGAGCTAACAACTTGTTCAAATTCAAATTAGATGCCTGAAATTTCCTGTTTCTAGTGGTACAGATGATGATTGGTGGTCAATAATGTTACTTAAAATTAGGAAAATTTAAGAAATACATTTTTATTGAGACCCAGATAACACTCACTTTGGTGTCATTTTGTCATGGTAGATTGATTGTTCAGGAATGGTTATCCATCCATTTCTTCTTTGTGTATGTTGTTTCAGTTCAACCCATTTATTTTCCCTTTCGGTATGTTTTTGGATTACTCTCAGAGGTCAACTGCACAAGATGTTATTATTGATGGGTTCGTGTTTATCAATGTTATTGGATTTAATCGTTGGCATGTTCCAATTCGGTGATGGGTTATATGTGAAACGTATTTATGTGGGTTGATTCTTCGCACTTGTTTGCAAAGATCTGATGAGGGCAGTTTCAGCTATTGTTTATAGTTTCCTTTCATCTGCAAATATGAACTTTGCATTTTTGTTGCCATTACTTGATATGTTCTTCTTAAGTTTGTGGGTAAACATACAAATTTTCAAAAGCAAGTTTCTGAAACTCCCAGACATGAATTTTCTGATGTTGTGTTCAACGTTTTTTCAATATCTGTCAACTGTAGATTTGTGTAGTATGCATGCATTTGAACTCTGCTAAAGTTATCTGCTTCAGTTATTTGGATTTGTTTGTAACAATTGTTTCTCATTTTTTATCTAGGTCAATAATGCTACTTAAAATCAGTAGAATGGAATACATTTGACTAGAAAAAGTATGTTAAAAAGAAATGTAGGCTACATAATGGCATATTTAGAATAGGGGAAGAAATCAGTGAACTGGTGATTGAATGTGTGAGAGCCTGCTCTTGAAAAAATATGAACAATTCTTTTAATAGTAGGCAACTGTGTGACAACTGGGATATTCCTTTTTCTCTTAAGGGCCTGCATGATAACAGAACTTGAGTTGCTCGTTTTTCTTGGATTCAGCTGGTTGTGCCATCTTGTTGGTTTACTGATCTTTGTTCTGTATCCGTGGTGGTTTGGTTTTTTCATGGTGTTTCTGTTGTCTTTCTGATGATCCTGTTGTTTCAGTAGGTTGTTTTATTTTTTGTCTTTGTGTTTCCGTCTGTGGCTTCTACTTTATTCACAAAGAAAAGGGAAAAGGATGACTGTTCCTATTTCCCCTGTATAATTTTTTATTATTGGTTTTTATGATTAAACAGATTGTGGGATTGGCAAAGGGGATGATGAAGCACAGCTTGAAGATAGAAGGCATAGATGATGCAGTTGACATTGTTGGAACTGGTGGTGATGGCGCAAACACTGTAAACATTTCAACAGGGGCTGCAATACTTGCTGCAGCTTGCGGTGCAAAAGTTGCAAAGGTAACATCTATCTTCATTGATGCTGTCATGTTTTTGCATTATGTGATTTTTATCAAACTATAATTAATATCTGATAACTTTTGTATCTCAGCAAGGAAGTCGTTCCAGTTCCTCTGCATGTGGAAGTGCTGATGTATTAGAATCTTTGGGAATAATAATTGACTTGGACCCTGAGGTTGGTGCATTAAACATTTGGTTTCAAATATATGGATTGATGGTATAGTGGAGTCTAGTTAGTACAATCAATGTCCTGGCTTCCCATAAGCCTCAGGTGCAGAAAGAGAGGCATGATGAATGCCTTAAACCTAGGTCTCCTCAAACCCCTTTTATTGTCATTAGTTGTTTAGTAGTAGCTACAAGAAACTTTAAATTGAGGTGAATAGATCAGATACTTTTCCTTTAAAATGTCATTGAGAATAGCCAAAATATTAAATAAAATGTGCAGCTGTGATGTCAAATTTGACTAGAAAGATGCTCATTCAATTGTGATTTTTCTTGAACCAGGGGGTAACTAGATGTGTGAATGAAGCAGGCATTGGATTTATGATGGCACCCAAGTATCATCCAGCAATGAATGTTGTCCGCCCTGTTAGAAAAAAGCTGAAAGTAAAGACTGTATTTAATATATTGGGACCCTTGTTGAATCCAGCAAGAGTACCTTTTGCTGTTGTTGGTGTATACAAGGATGAGCTTGTAAGTGTTTATTCGTAGAATTTTGGAAATATTAGAAATATCATTGTTTTTTCACAAACAAATTTATATCTTGATCTTAGCTTTATTTTTGTATCATGTACCTTAGGCATGTAGATAACACGTTATGCTAAATTTGATGATACTTTCAAATACTGATACTTTCAATGCGGTTACTTTTGCTTTGAAACAATTTTCTTAACTAGGGATTTTTATGCAAAGATGACATTTCTTGTTCTGTGAGAAAAAGATGTTGACAAGAAAGCAATTCTCAGAATGATCCAAAGAACTTCTACATTGTTTTTGTCAATATGGGAATAATTTATGTTTGAATGAATAACATAAGGCCATGATGACTGTCTGATTTTCAGATTTTGAGTGGCTCATCATCTAGAGTACTTTGGATTGTCTAAACTTAGAATGGATTGTTGCTTATCTTATAGTGAGCTTAGATGGTGATTTGTGGGGGACAACAACAGTTAGTCTCCTACACTTCATGTTAAAGGTGTAGAACCAAATGAAACAACTATGTTATATTTCTTTGTTGACTATGGGTTTCACTTCATGTAAATAGTTTTGGCATCGCTTGTGTAATGATAATAATGTATCTTGTTTATTTAACACTTTAGTGGACACAAGGTACATCTTGTAGAAACTTGGACTTTATCTTATAACTAACTAGTGTGCATGTGGCTCATTATATTTCTTAATTGTGTAGGTCTTGAAGATGGCTAAAGCATTGCAAAGCTTTGGAATGAAGAGAGCATTAGTTGTTCACTCAGAGGGCTTGGACGAAATGAGTCCGCTTGGTAAAATCCCTCTTTTTATTATAGTCTATGTTTTACGGAAGTTGTACGAGGCTTTTTACTGCCTTAAGCTAATACATTATCATCTTTATTTTGCTTCTAATTCAAATATAACCCTAACTTACATGTAATTGATTTGAATATAGGACCTGGGCATATCCTTGATGTGACTCCTAATAAAATTGAGGAGTTCTCCTTTGATCCATGTGAGAATTTTTTGTTTCTAGTTCTCAACTATTAATTCTTATGCTTATTGCTGCTTTCAGATTTTCGGATGATTTTTCATTGAACTTACAAGAAAATCATTATTTTTATGTTATAGTGGATTTTGGAATTCCTCGCTGCACCCTAGATGACTTGCGAGGTGGAGGCCCTGAGTATAATGCTGAGGCACTAAAGCGTGTATTGTCAGGGGAGAAAGGTTCCATTGCAGATGCATTTGTATGTTTTCTTGATTGTTACAACTAAATATGGATTTCGTTACGTCCTTCCTATGTTTGAGATATCTATTCATTACCAAATCTGTTGGCCAGATCTTAAATGCTGCAGCAGCTCTCTTTGTCAGCGGTCAGGTGAACACCTTGGCCGAAGGAGTTTCATTGGCTCGTGAAACCCAAATTTCAGGGAAGGCTATCAGGACCCTTGATCAATGGGTAGATATATCCAATGTGAGTGGTCTGACCATATATAATTAACATCTTCAGGATGTGATGAAAATTATCAATTCCTTTAATCCGTTTTGATTAATGATTTCAGACAATGAAGAAAGATACAATTGTTTATTAAGGATGCCTCAGATATCAGTTTTGAACTCATCATGATCGAGAGCCGATGTAGAGTCTACACATTTGAAAGAACATAATAAGGCAAACGGATCTGTTGAATGCAATGTACTAGATCATCCCTTAATAGAGCAGAAAGATGTTGGCAAGAAAAAAGGGTAAGGGTAGAAAGGTGAAATTTTGGACTTCATGTAATTTTCAGGAAAAATAAATCGACTTGGAAAGAATTCCAACATTTCTCTTCCTCTTTCAAATCCAAAGTCAAGTGTACTATTTGCTTATGTGAAAGTGAAACAATGGAAGCATAATAACTTTCAAAAATATGTTTACAACTCTCTCTCTCTCTCTCTCTCTCTCATGTATGCATACAAGAAGCCAACAATATATAACACGCAAGAAGCCAACAATATATAAATCTGACATTCACATAATGAGATGCATAACATATGGTGATGGATAATGGTTCTTTGTAATCCATGCTAGCAGACACACCAGTGATCCTGCAAACAAGTAACCAAATTAGATACCAAAGTTGGATAATTGGAAACTAATTTTTTATTTACGAGCTTGATGAAATGATAAATTTGAAGGTCAATTGCAGCAAAATGACTGAACAGCTGAAGAAGATACCTATCAATGTATAGCTGTCCACCGCAGAGTATGTTCTTGTTGATGATGACTTTACTGCATCACACATAAAGATCATCAATAAAATTATTAATTGAATTATATATATATAACAGAAAATGAGAATCATAATGAAGCTGTTAATGTCTAACCAGAATCACAATTTGATGTAGAATTCAATTTCCCACACATGCACAATTGCCTAATGCCATCAGTTCCATACCCGCAGGTGCCACCAGTAGCCTCACAAGCCCTACAAAATTCATCATTTTCTTGAACAGAATATTTCACTCGGATCCCATAAGACCACCCATTAGCCCCATCAAGCCTCAATGGGGCAAGACTATAGGCACTGCTGTACCCTTCACACTGAAGCCTGGTAAGATTAATGGCCTTGATGGCCTCAAATGGCACTGCACAGCACTCAGGTGGCCCTGACCCAAACATGGAGCCCACCTTCCTATGGCCGCCCAGCAAATCCCATGCTGGGCAACCGTAGTATTCTTCACAGCTCATGCCTGAAACGTTTCTACATGGCAAGTGCTTTCCCGGAAAGCCTTGGAAGAGTGGTGATTGAGCTGAGCAGCCTATCAACATGAATACGTTGTCGGCCGTCGGATTCATGTACGGGGCCCGCCATTGCTCGACGGAGAAGCCGTTACCCTTTGCTCCTAGCACTATGTTGTCACAAGTTGACATGTGAGGGTCATGTAGAGTGAGGGCTTGATAAGCATAGTCTATGTCTAGGACCCTGTAAGATCCTGAGCTTATGTGAAACATAAGCACATCGTTTATGCAGTATAGGAGTTCTCGAAAACCCGGGTGGCCGCAGCCCGAATGGAGCGCAAATGGGTAATCTATGGTGAGGTTTCCACAATAGGATCTGCATGCAGCATTGCCTGAATTTGATGGAATTAATGCTGAAAATAGAAGGTAGAGGAAGCTGAGAATGAGCATAGTTGTACTAGTACTCATGGGTTTATCCGAGAAAGAGGGAGAGAATTTGAGAAGTGGTTTGTGAATTGGTGCAAACTGCAATGATACTTTGCTTGGAGGGTTGAGTTAATGTCTGATGTTGTGGCCTTGTGGGCATGATTTGGGGGACTTTGTTCACAATCACATGTAGTGTTGAGAATCTTGGTGAATTGTTTATCGGTTTTGTTTCTCTTTTTGGTTGGAGAAATTATTTGTTTTTAAAACTTTAGTGTAGCTTTTGCAAATTGGAATTCCTGCAGCAAGCTTTAGCTTGCTTTTGGGTACTGCAAGGCAATAAAAATTGTATGAAATGATTCTCATTGGGTTTGCTTTATGTTTTTAGCTGTCATTTCTTTGACATCTCTCTTTTTTTTTTTTTTTTTTTTTGTATGATGGATGGATTTCATAACAACTAGGCAAAAATCCGAGAGAAATACAAAGCCCATAAACAGTAAGGCACAAACGAATAACAAAACATAACAGCGACACTGCTACTTAAAAAGAGGACAACTAAAGAAGATGTAGTCATATAGTTAGGAGGTAAAGTTAAATTGGAATTATAGAAATTGTGGATAAAGTTATAAAAAAAACAAAACAAAACAAAATTTTACTATAATTCATGATTCATCATTGTTAGGAGGAAAGTCCAATTAATGTGGATTGAATTATAAGATTAACCAAGGCCTAGCTAGCTACATAAAGATTGCAACTTTGAAACGACATGTCGTTTGTCTGATCCTTATTTTGACTCTCAAGTTTCCACGTGCCACCTCACTGAGAATTGAGAACTGGCGATGGCGGTCATCACCACCGTTCTCATGCCGCTTACCCTCTGTTTGGTTGCCCAGAAAATACAACAGTAATTCTAACTGCCTCCAGCTGTTCTCGCTTCCTCGGCGAGAAGAGATAAAGAACACTAATTTTATTGGAAACGAAACACAGTGTTATTGTCAGTGTGAAGAGCATCATACTATTTGATCATGGAAGCTCTGGAGAAATCAGAAGAAACCGTCTCAAACGTAATTGATTATCTTCTCTGCTCACTTTACTTACTAATATAGTTATAAAAATGTGAACTTTTTTGCTCTTCTTATACGATAGTTCTCTAAAACCGAGCAATATGTAATTAATTAGGCCATTCAAATAATTGTTTTTGTTCATTTCTAGGTCAAGTTTTGGATTTTAGAGACACTCGTTTAAGTGGGTCCTCAAAGTTGTTAAATTGCAGATTTTGGAATTTGGGTTTTGTCTGTTATGTGTTTCTGAAACTTGAGTGGTACTTTATATTCGAATTGCCCATCATGTGTTTGCTAAAATTCCTGTTAGCCTAACTATGATGTTGTTTTCTTTGAATCAGCATTCTCAAAAACTAGCAGGAACTGTCAACTGGGGCACAGCAACTGTGATCGGAGTATTTGCAGGCCTGTTTTATGGTGGTAGCAAGGAGGCATCTGCTTCAGTTGTAAGTTTGTATGGTATCAAAATAACAATGCTCCAAGTGCTTGTTTTGATGCTTTGTAGTGATTCATAACAATGTTTGAAGATTGAGGTGTTTGATTTTGATCTCAATCTCAGAAGATGTTAGATAACATTACTTGTAAAGTGGTTTTGTTGATATTGACTATTTATTCATCTGATTGATTTCTCTTTTTAACATCATATTTCAACTGTATTTTGTTGAAACTAGAGCAAGGATGCAGAAGTAATGTTGAAGCTTGGGAGCACACCAGACAAGCGTGAACAATATCGTATGATGAGAGATGCAATGGAGAAAAGGTTCATACGAGTCACTCGGGGCTCGATAGTTGGTGGAGTGCGTCTTGGATTGTTTACTGCTACATTTTGTGGTATACAAAATCTGCTTGCTGAGAAAAGGGGTGTGCATGATGTTTTCAATGTTGTTGGAGCCGGTTCAGCCACTGCTGCTACATTTGGTCTAATAAGTAAGAGTCATATCTAATCTTCTGAGCTTCTTTGTTAACTGGTTGTCGTCGTTGGCATGCATTGAAGCATCGGCTTCTCATTTGATGCTTAAAGCCTTTTCAGAATACGATGTCTAACATTTGGTTTCTTCTTCAATCAGTGCCAGGATCATTGCCATGGCGAGCAAGAAATGTGATGCTTGGTGCCGTCCTAGGAGCAGCATTGGGTTTTCCATTTGGTAATACATTCAACCCTCTAATCTTCCCGAAAGTGTACATTTATCAATCGTATGCCGCTAACATGGGTTGATGCATTTTGTGGCAGGGTGGGCGCATTTGAAGCTGGTAGAGAAAGCAAATGAAGGGAACCTGTCTACACATCCTGATTCAGATCAAAGAGAAGCAAGGAGTGGAGTTGGTGCAGCAATTGAAAGGCTTGAAGAAAATTTGAATAAGTAGAACAGAAAATTGAGCAAGGCTTGAAGATCTCCCTATTGTCCGGTGAGAAGAGAGATGGATGAAAATCTCAGAGAAAAGAGCATAGGCCTTGTTTCGTCTATTGAGGAATAAGAACACTCTAGTAACAATTTCACAATATTTTGAAGGATTTTTCAATTAATTTTCCAATTTATGGAGCAGAATAACAAATTTTCTTTGTTTGATCATGAAGTCCCTCATATGGTGAAATACCGAAAAATAAAGGTCGGGATAGATTTTCACAGTGAAAAATTAATCTTAAAACGATAAATCAATTCTTTTGTCCATCACCGAGTCCTTATTGCTCTTTTATTTTTCTATAATTCTTGGACACGGATTAACTTCATGGATTGATTTCGGTAAATAATAACTCCTTGATTTATACGATCTAATATGATCAGCCTGTCTAATACAAATTTTTATCTTCGAATTTTGAGTAACAGTAAATAAAAATTTCAAAAAACAAACAAATTAAGGACGTAAGAATTTCCTTTCAAGTGTTTTGTTCATAATTTTCATATGCCTGGTACAGGGTTTTTTTTTTCACTCTTCCATCAAAACTCAGAATGGTGAGAAGAAGAAATTGAGCAAATGAGATCTTCAAGATGAACTCTCCCACCTTAGCCTCTTCTTCTTTTCCTCTTCTCTAATCTGTCAACCAGTTACAACCATGGCTTAAGTTAAACTTATACACCATCTAATTATCCTTCCTTCCCTGCAATACAAAGAACTGTTAGAGCTGAGGAAGCAAAACAATATATCCATTACAAAAGCCATTTACCATCAACCGTTGATAGCACCTTGCTGTGTCATGGCTTCTTTGCCATCCTTTTAGCTGTCTCGTGGCTTTTTCGTCGTCCTTTTTGCTTCCCTAGCTGTAATGTGTCCATAGTTAAAGTTATGCAGATATTGGTAACAAAATGGGATGGGCAAGAAGATTTATGAGTACAATCCTAGTTGGAAGACAATCCTAGACATTCTTTCTTCAACAAGTCAACAACCAGATGTTTATTCAATTTGTGTGGAACAGAAGCAATCATCTGACCGAAAAGGGTCAGATGGATGAACATTTTGTCCCATTAGAGGATAATCTAACTTGTGTTGTCCAAGCTTACCTTTATATTTCCTTTTCTTGTTAGCTCTCCTCCTCTTTCTCTCTGCCTGTGTAAGTTCTGCTTCTTCTTTAATATCACCTTTGCCTGAAAACACTTCCTCAGGCGCTAGCATTGCTGCATCAGAGACAGCCACAGGTGCAATCTGCCCAAGGAGAGATATTATGATTGTCAATTTTCCAAAGACATTTGTGATAGAAAAAAATATAAAAAGAAAATGGAAATGTAGAGTTCACATTACCTCTTCCATCGCTAGAGCGGGGATATTAGCTTGTACAGTCATATCCTCGATAACCTATCCCAGATACCATATAGCAAGTACATGAATGCCCACAAATTAGAAACGCATACGCTGCATATAAATAAATAAATTTTATGATTGAGAAGCATACAGGTTTTGGAGTGAAGTGGAAATGAGAAAGAGCATCCAACTTCAAGCAAAGTTTCTTGAACAGCTTGCTTGCCTGGTCAAAGATAACGACCACAAGAATAATAATTAGCACCTTTAGATACAGATAAGGACGTTAAATTTTGATTAGTAACATAGAAGAACAACAATCAAAACATGCACCTCTTCCTTCTGTTTGTCTGTGAATGACAATGGACCAGAAGCCACATTCGTCTTTTGAACGTACTCGTCCTGCAGAAATTAATAAAAATAGCTTCTCAGCATATTTTACTCAAAATTGAAAAATAATTTGTTAAGTATCACATTTAGATGCTAAGACAGAAATCCAGCCTAAGGAGATCAAACTTTGGAAGGTTGGGCAGCAAATCAAGTGATTGCATTTTGCATCAGGAGAACCATACCTCATAGACTTCAGCTAGACCCTTCTTGCTCTTATTCTCGTCCTATATATTAAACAAAAGGATTAGACACATTGAACAAGTTACTTCATTTTACACACAATAAATCAAAATTCTATAAAAAAGTAATGCTTACCAACTCTTTAATTTCTCTTGGTGCTTTAGAGTGTAAAGTCGGAGCCTTTTGAACATCATCAAAACGCCCCTATAAAACACAACTGCAGTTTTAGAACTGGTTGTAATCCACAAACAAACACAACGAGAGAGAGAGAGTAGAAGAAACAAGCAACAAATATGACAAATAATAAGACAGAATGAAAAAAAGCTTAGAAAAAAAAGAGAAAAAAAAAAAAAAAAAAAAAAAAAAAAAAAAAAAAAAAATCTAATAAAGTGATCAATATAAAAAAAAGCCTCCAGTAGAGGTGATTGATGAAAATGCGGTTCATTAGAAATAGCTGAACTTTGAACTTAACATTTTAGATAAGAAAATATGACATGAAAATAAAGTCCTGGAGCGTATCTATTAAAAATGTTGATTACCAGCTCGATTCTTTTCTGGATGATATCCTCAATCGATGCTGTAACCTCCTCTGTGATTACAGGGGGAGGTCTAACATTGTGTTCAAAATCTAGATCAACTTCTAGCGCACTGTTCTTTGGCCTTCTCTCTGCAGTTACCTGTTGTTGAAAGCCATAATTGATATATGTAATCCATTAAAAGATACATGGGTATCATAACATGCATAATACGACTATTAGTGTCCCAAAGAAGAAAATCAGAAACGGCGATGTTACCTCTCCTCGCATGGTCCAATTTTTTGGCTCCAAATTTGCTTTTTCCATCTGGTCTATTTCGGAACGAAGTTTCTGAAGCTTCGTTTCATGGGTAGAAAGAGTTGTATGTTTCTGTATTAAAAAATATATATTGAAATGAGATGAAACTCATTTGAAAATATGGAGAACCTATGAACTGCAAGACCATGCTCACAAATTTTGTTACACTACTTGATTTTCAAGTACCTTCTCATCTTTTTGTTCATCTTCATCATCATCTTCTTCAACTTCTTCTTCATCATCTTCATCTTCATCCTCATCCTCATCCTCATTGTTTATGCCCAAATCTTTTGATCCATCAACCAATTTTGGTTTTCGTTTAGAAGGTTTTTCCTTTTTTCCTCCATAGAAGTCTTCATATCTGTAGCAGAGAAGCAGTAGTGAAGCATATTTAAATGGATATATATATGCATGACCACAACAGATATGCACTGGTGAATTACATAAAATAGATATATATCAGAGAAACAAATGCAGAGGAACCAGGAATTTGCAGTCAATGATCGATCCATATTCATAGAATCAACTAATTGTGGTACAATAAACGTAGAAAGAAAAGAAAAACAAAATTATTGGATAAATCATAAATGTAGCACCTTGCAAACTTGTCTGCGTCTTCTTCATCCTCATCATCGCCAATGTCTAAATCTCCAAGCTAAATAGGCAAAATGAATCGAGTTAGAAACCAAAAAGACAAGCTTCAAAATCAGCAAAATTCTTAAGCCAAAAACCAAATAACTATCCAACAAAAAATTCAAGCAGGGCCTCACCAGCTCATCTTCTTCTTCATCCTCATCATCATCATCATCGCTACCTTTCTTCTTTTTCTTCTTCTTCTTCTTTTCAGTCTTCATTAACCCATATTCCCTAGCTTCACTATCCTCCAAAGACTTCTTCAAATCCTTTATCTTAAAAAACCCATCCTCTATCCCATTATTACCTTCACCTTCACCTTCACTGTCTTCTCCCTCCTCTTCATCCTCACTCTCATTCTCTTCACGTTCTTCCTCGTCTTCTTCTTCCTGTTCCTCCTCCTCATCGTCTTCATCAAATTCATCTAATTCCTCATCAGAACCATCGATTTCGTTCTTTAAACCCTCATTTTCAGCTTCCAGAACCTTCTCTTCGCCTTGTACAAGCACCTTCAGCGTCTTAATCTCGTCCGGATTTTTCTCGAACCGTTTCAAATCTCGGCGGAGGCTCGAGATGAGCGGCTGCGATTGGAGGTCGATTTGCTGCCATATCTGCTCGGCGTCGAAGCCGTCTGTTAACAGCTGATCAAATGGCGATTTGGGCGTGAACGGTCTGAGGGAGGAGAAGAGGTTCTGCAAGGCCGTTCGAGCCGTTTGGGAGAGCGCGGAGCTCGGCGTCAGTAACTGCGTTGGGTCTGTGAGTTTCAGGGAGTTCAGGGCTTCGCTACTGATCGCCATGGGTGAGCGAGAATGCGAGCTCGGTTTGTATCTTGTTTCTGACAGGTTCGCTCCGGTTTTGGGTTTGGGGTTTAGGGTTTTAGATGGGAGTTTGTACTGTACACGTGGCGAGCTGTAATTGGCTATAACTCGTTGGGCTCACAATAGACACGACGCCGTTTGATCTACAGTGTTATGGGCCTTGTGAAATTGAAGACATAGTAATATCCTAGCCCTCGTAGGACTACCATACCGAAAAGGGTCAGATGGACTACAGTGTTATATACGTCTTCCCTCTCAACACACACAAATAAACTTTGCCTCTACGTGTCTTTGAATCTCCTACTCCAATATGACAGACCTGCAATCGAATGAATGGCTCAGAAACCTCATGGATGATGGTATAGACCATCTTTTGAATGTAGAATGGCTCATAGATTTCTTGCCTACTGAACATATTTTTGACCAAGCAATATCATTGTCAGATATGGTCGAATTTTCTCTCGTCCTGCCTTCCTTAGATGATCAACAAGATTTGAACTTGAATTTGAGACCAAAAGCCTGCATCCCAAGCATCGGTTGAGGCCTTGGAGAAGTTGGTGTTCGATGTTGGGGTGCATGGATCGAGTGAGAGTGATTTGCCTGGAAAATATGTTGCATGGGGATCGAGTCACTCGCATGCCATGCTCTCATATATTTCATGGAGTCTGCATTGTGGAGTGGTTAAGACAAGGTCATATTTTGCTCCATTGAAGCTAAAAGACCATTCATTACACATAAGTTTATCATTTTAAAACACTTTTTGCAAATATGGTATCAACTAAAAAGATTAAACAAACAATTATGCATAATTTTCAAATTGAATTTATGGATTATTTGTGCTTGTTATGTACTTGGACAACGCAAACTCAAATTGAATGAAAATTTGGGTTGTACTCCGATTGATGATCTAGGATTTTCTTCGTACATATGATTGCCAAGCGGGGTCAATGGTTGTGACCCTCTTCCTTCCCCTGCTTGGCACCCAAAGGAGAACCAAGACTGGTAGGTGAAATTTAGGAAGGTTTATCTCGACAGGAAAGGGAAAAATCAGGAAGGTTTATAGAAAACAAATGAGCAGGAATTATAATACAATACAAAATATGAATCAAACGAATATAAAAATACCACATGAAAGTCCCCGAGATTATTGCTTCAACAATAATAATGTTTTTATTTTCTTAATTACCGTTCCTTAATTTTTTATTTCTTATTAAAAAAGAAAAATAAATTACATATGCATTAAGAACAAAAATAAAAATTCGACATTGTCGCAAGTTACACAGCTCCACCTGAAACTAAAAACTACCTTTTTTTTTCTTCATCTTCTTCTTCATCTTCATCTTCATCTTTAATTCAAACTTTGTTTGTCTCTCTCTGCCGACCTCCCGCCTCTTATTCAATCCTCGCTGCTACTAAATCTCAAACGCTGAACGCACTTCACAATCCGGACTGCCATCAACTGCGGTCATTTCCATCGGAATTCCGTCGTCCAATCGAATCAAAGTCGTCGATTCCTCCCAGGTCTACTTCTGACTCTTCCGACTCTTCTCTCTCAATTTCATCTGTAAAGAACTCGAATTTATGACTCTCCAATGATCAATGGAGAGACGACTGCCGAGGCCGCCTCTCCCGATCCGTCCCTTTCTTTCGATCGCAAATCGGACGGTGACGGTGGCGATGCCTCGCCCCGATCTCCTCCGTCGCGGTACTCGTCGTTCGGCGAGTCCGAGTACGAGCGCTATTGTAGCGCCAACTCGGTTATGGGCACGCCGAGCATGTGCAGCACAATCACGGTATTCAATGATTTTCCTGAGCCCGAATTCGGGTCGCTAAAAAGTTCGGGTTTTGTGGACGAGAGTGGTGGTTTGGATAATTTTAGTTTGGGAGGGAGGATTGAGAGAAATCGAGAGGATCGGAGAGTTTCAGGTAGTGGTAGGATTGAGTTTTGTAAGGAGGATGATAGTATTGAATGTCGGCGGAATACGAACTATGGGTCTAGTGGGTTGGAATTGTATGGCAATGAGGATGCTCATGGAGTTGATGGTTTAGATGAATTGATGTCTTGGAAGCTTGAGAGTGGATCGTCGGGTTTAAGGGGTGTTTCACAATTGAAGTATGGTTCGGATGATAGTGATGAAGACAGTGAAAAGGGCATGGAAGTGCAGAGAGGAGTTGTAGGAAAAGGGAAAACTAGTGCTGAATTTGAACGTGTGGTGGCCCGAGAGACTAATGATTCGAATTGGGTTGGAACTAGTTCCCAATTTGTACCCAAGGTTGAAGAGTTTGATGGGGTAAAAATGGAGTTCTGTACTTCGGAATTTGATGGAAGAGAGATTGATAGGGAAGAAGGAACCTCATCTAGAAATGAGTACTCAGAGGATGAGGGGTCTATGTATGGTTCAGATGATGAGAAGAGTGGCTTTAGTCAACAGAGGAATGTGCACTATCATCAGCAAGCAAAACCAGAGAATGAAAATCCGTTTCTTATCAACTCATCTGTAGCCTTTGGTTCGGATGATTGGGATGATTTTGTGCAAGAAAGCGACCGAAGTAATATAGCTTCTTTAGCTAGGAATGTGTTCCGGCGCCAGATAGAACAGAAGGTTGAAACTGAAAGGAAAGTTTCAAATTCCACTTCCCTCGCTTCAGTTGAGCGTCAGAGTACAAGTCAGACTGAGCAGGGAAAATATGTGACAAGCATGCCCACAGAAAGCCAACTAGTTCAAGCTGATAAGAAATTGGCAGAATATGTTAATAGTTCCATGGTACCTGCTAGTTCTCCAAATATTATTGAAACAGAAAAAGTAGAAGATGTGAGGGACATTCCTGTGGCCAGTTATCAAGTCCAAGCTATTGATGATCCGATTGAATTTACCGAAAGTTCTTTTACAACCCCAACTGGTTTTCAAAATGTTCAAGAACCAGAGCAAGAAGGTTCAAGAGACATTCCTTTGACCAAGAATCAAAATCCAGGTCCTGACGAAGCAGCAAAAGAAAGTCCTGATGAAAATGGTTTAAACATTATGGATGACCGCATTTCTAATGCGCATACACGTGTGAATGCTGGGGATGTCATTGGGATTGATGATGGTCAAGATTTAGAAAACAAAAATTTGGGGAATCTAAAAGTTAAACCAAATCCCCTTTCTGATATATCAACTAATCAGCTTAGCATCTATGCAACCAGACCTCCTGGAAATATGAAGGGGAAATTCCTTGCAGACGATAAGCCAAGCACGCCGACATCAATTTTTGAAAATAAAATGAGGGAAAGTTCTGTTTCAGAAGATCTCTTTGAAAACTATCCTAAGCCCGTTAAGGTCAGTCATGCTTATTAAGTTTGTAGACTTGATTATGTCTCATGGGAGTTGTCCACAATGTGTTTTGGTAAATTAGCACGCTGACAACTGTGTGTGTGTGCGTGTGTTTTGGGGTTTGGGGTTTGGGGGTGTGGTTGGTTTTTAAACTGGTAGACTCGTGTTACTTGTAGGATAATATAACTCATAACTTTGAGAAGGCTCCATTATTGTGGTAGGCATCACAGTGATGATCTTTCAGATTTTATTATCATTATTTATATCAAGTATTCCTGTCTATATTGATCTTTGTAAATTCAAGTATTTACTAGGTTTTATGTTGTGTTCTTGTTTAGTTATGTAAATGGCTTTCCAAGACTTTTCATGGGCATGGTTTGTTTACTAGTTATTACACCAACTACCTTTTGCAAGAGAATATCTGGTTTATGATATTGGTGGTTATGTGCTATGGCAGTCTGATCTGATCTTATCCATATAAGAATATTTGTGTGTGAAGTTGTCTCTAGCTAATTTCCTCTTTTACTAATGCTGCAGACAGATAATTTTGAGCTAAATGAATTCTACGATGAGGTTGTTAATGAGATGGAAGAAATTCTGCTCGACTCTGCTGAGTCCCCAGGGGCAAGGTTCGCTCATGGTAACAGGATTTTACAGTCACAGCAATCTCTACCGTTAAGAGATGGTGGATCGACTGCTTCTACTTCTGGCACAGATGATGCTTACTTGTTCAATCAGAATTCATTGAGAATTGATGGGGTCGAAGTGGTAGGTGCAAGGCAGAAGAAGGGAGATGTCTCATTCAGTGAAAGACTGGTGGGAGTGAAGGAATATACTGTGTATATAATAAAAGTGTGGAGTGGCAAGGATCAATGGGAGGTTGAACGTCGATATCGTGATTTCTATACACTCTATCGTCGATTGAAAACATTGTTTGCTGACCATGGCTGGAATCTACCTTCTCTCTGGTCTTCTGTAGAAAAGGAATCCAGAAAGATTTTTGGAAATGCATCTCCTGATGTTGTTGCAGAGAGAAGTGTTCTCATTCAAGAGTGTCTGCAATCCATTCTCCATTACAGGTTCTTTTCCAGTCCACCGAGTGCATTAATATGGTTTTTGTCTCCTCAAGATTCATTTCCTAGCTCCATGGCATCAAATGTGTCCGACTCTAATACTAAAAGGGCATACACTGAAAACTTTTCCACTTTAGGAAAGACCATATCACTTATTGTTGAAATTCGACAATACAAATCTTTGAAGCAGATGCTAGAAGCACAACATTATACTTGTGCTGGATGTCACAAGCATTTTGATGATGGAAAGACTTTGATACGGGATTTTGCACAGACATTTGGATGGGGCAAGCCTCGACTTTGTGAATATACTGGTCAATTATTTTGCTCGTCGTGCCATACAAATGAAATTGCAATCATACCAGCAAGGGTGTTGCATAACTGGGACTTTACTCAGTATCCAGTTTCGCAGTTGGCTAAATCTTATCTGGATTCTATACATGACCAGGTAATATGAAGACTGTGGCCTTCTTTATGATTTAAATTTTGTATCTGTTATGTCAATGAATTGCGACTACATTAGCAAGCAACATACTGATAGATTTTGTCCTAAGAACGTTATTTGTAGCACTTTTGCTTTCGTGTATTTATGCTTCCACATAATGTGATAATGGGAACAATTTTTTTTTCCTTTAAACTTGCTACTGTACAAGGAAAAAAGAATGAATTAAAAGGGGTTTCTAGTACCAGGTACCGTATGCAATGGTTGTTTGATACATGGACCAAATATCTGTTGTAATTGATGACAAGTCCATATATAATGCCATTTCCTGGTCATATCTGTTGGGATTCCATTTGATTCCAGGGGATTATGGAAATCGTTATGTTAAGGGAGACTACAAATACAATGTTAATCTTTGCACCAATCCTGTATCATAATTTAACTTATTGTACTCAACCAATTTAAGGATCTATTTGTGCATTGAGATTGACACCCGCAAATTTCCTCCTTTCCAGCATCATTTTGAACATTTTAAATCCAAGTTAATTTTTCATGTATTTAACATTTCAAGTGACTTTCTGAGCCAATACCTCATGTCCATGATCAACTTCGTTTTGCAGCCCATGCTTTGTGTCAGTGCTGTTAATCCGTTCCTTTTCTCGAAGGTCCCAGCCTTGCTTCATGTTATGGGTGTCAGGAAGAAAATTGGCACCATGCTTCCTTATGTTCGTTGTCCATTCCGTAGGTCAATCAACAAAGGACTTGGGGCTCGGAGATATCTTCTAGAAAGCAATGATTTTTTTGCACTGAGAGACCTCATTGATCTTTCAAAAGGAGCCTTTGCAGGTTAGCTTCTAATCACAAGCTTTATCTTCATGCATGTATGCCATACTGGACTTTTAGTTATTATGAAAATAAAATAGATTACTTGATATGTGTGTGTGTGTGTGTGTGTGTGTGTGTGTGGTGTGTGTGTGTATCTTTTCTGAAGGCTGACGTACTATTTTTGTGGCAGTGCTCCCTGTGATAGTTGAAACTGTCTCAAGGAAAATTCTGGGGCATTTAACCGAGCAGTGTCTCATATGCTGTGATGTGGGAGTCCCCTGTGGTGCACGACAAGCATGCAATGACCCTTCATCTCTCATTTTCCCTTTTCAGGTGAGCATCTGTAATTCTATTGTACAATTGTGGTTCCTGTTCACATGGCTAATAAGATTTTTTTCTTCTGGCTTTTGTTATTGATCTTATGTGTTCCCAAAATATTTATTGCATCAATTGGAGAACCAGATTTTGGCCATCAAATTAGCGGGCACCACACTACTCGGCTTTATATCTTTCCATTTTTACCATCAATTGAATCAAGCACTTAGTTTCCGTAACCCTACCCTAACATGATATCCTATGAGCTTATAGGTTTCCTTTTGAAATGAATAGCATATGTCTCACAATGTTTTATATTTTTGTAACCAGAGGAAATATCTCCTCATTCTGCAAATCATGTGAGCATTTTGTATCCTTTACTAGGAAACCTTGAATTCCTTATATTGCATTGATGAATTAATAAGTATAGTTGCTGCAATCTGACTGTAAAAGTTATTGGCAGGAGGATGAGATTGAAAGGTGTCCATCTTGTGAATCAGTATTCCACAAGCATTGCTTCAGAAAGCTCATGGACTGCATGTGTGGGGCACACCTTAGGGTGGACGAGCCGGCACAACTCATTAAGAGGGCAACCTCTGGGGTTGGTGCTGAGATCAGTGGGCTTCTAGACTTGTTTGGAGGAGGGTCGAGTTCTGGATTACTCTCTGGCTTATTTTCGAAGGTGAAGCCAGAGAAGCCAAGGGAGCATAAAGACGGTGACAACGTGATTTTAATGGGTTCTTTGCCCAGCACTTCCTTATAATTCTTCTGTATCTGCATTGTATCATATGTGCATTTTGGCTTGATTTGGAATGTAGAAACTTCATTCATTGCACCTTTTGATGTTAAATAATCAAAACTGGACATCCCAACTTTGTTGTAGCTAAATTCTTAAGGTTGGGCAAGAATATATTCTTTTTGGCTGGCCCCTATTTGTAATGTAGATGCTTAGTCAATGTAAGTGCTGTCTCTTTCATTCACTTGCTATCTGACTTCTTGATTATGAATGTACATCTCAACTTTTTGATTGTTTGTGACTTAAAACTTTGAATTCCCTTGGAATGAGAATACCAATAAAAGATTGTTGGTGTTATCAACTTGGTGGGAAATTAATAAAAAGTATATATAAACAGTCTATATTGAATAATAGAATAATTTTAGATTACGAATGAGAATATCTATAATGAACTTTTTTCTGATGTCTGTGTATATGCAGTTGCAAGTTGCAACTTTACAAGTATGCCACTGGTTAGGGAAATGCTTGAGCATCCAAAACTTGATTTCCAAACTACATTTTCCTTTAAATCTGTTGAAGGCATGGATCCCCATAATTCTAAACTCGGATCTCTGTCCTTCTGCATGCTCTCCTTCTACAAAGAATTATAGCAGTAACTTTTTTTCTTTCTCTCTGGATCCTGTACTCTATACGGTGTTCGGCTTCAGCTACGTACTCTTGCATCGCAGCCCAAGTTATCTCCCACATTGATAAGATTCAGGGAACCGTGTTGAATACAGTTGATGTTTCATCTTCATTATCAGAGCAAAAATGCTGTAGCATGGGATATGCAGCAGACCCACCGACAAGTACCTTCAAATAGGGTTTGCAGTAAGAAGCAGCATATGTTAAGCAACCAACTGTCTAATTAAATACATAAACTACCATATTTTGTTACAAGTTATTGGAAATTAGAAAATAATCAAGAGCTTAGGATACATACCATAGTGGAGCATATGGAGATGACAAGTCAAGAAATGGATAGGGCCACCTGTTTTCGAAACACAAAAATCATCACTACAAGTATATAGCCATTATGGTTTTTGTAATATGGGAAATCAAAGAAATGATGATTTTACCAAAGTTTGAAAAAAGCATGAACGAGCCACTGGAAAACTACATAGGTGACTGTCCACAGGAAGAAATATCCAATTCGGAACCAGGGAAACGGCTGAAAATCGAAAAATTTATCAATGTTAGTGGTATATGTATTCATGAGAAGAATTGGAAACCCAAAAGTGATTTGAATTTTGAACTTGCAAAACTGCAACTTACCAAGCTGTTCAAAGCGGTTTCGCCAAGCAAGAAAACAGCATTGATTGTGTGCATGTTTATAATCAGCTGTCATGAAACGGATGAAACCTGTTATTTTCTATCATAATCATAGATTACATAAACTAATCCTGAGGTTATGGAATGATACGAAATCCAAAATAGACAGAGAAGATGAACAGAGTATTATGTGGCTAGACATGTTCTTAAAAGGCCCTCAAGGTCAAAGCTGTATATGATACTCACAAAATTCAAGTTGTAATCTTTGATGGTAAGAAATGGAACGATTATGAACCAAAAGACGCAGTCTGTGAGGACGACAGCACCCGCATTCATCTGTTTTCAAGCAAAAGCATGTTCAATAAGCTAATTAAGCATTAATATGACCAACTTATAAGTTGAAGTTGAAGTTATAAAACATTATACCTGGAAGATTATTTGGAAGACATAACCCCAAAAGCCAGCAGGTTGGCGAGCTTGAGGTTGTTCTACGTGGGAGCCCGAGGCTTTGTCTGTGGCAGAGGTACCGGAAGTAACTTCAAGCGGAGGAGACACAAAAGTGCCTTGCTCTGTATCCACCTCAAAACTCTCAACCTTATCGCCGGCAGTTTTCTTATGGTATTGGTAACATCCCCGCATGGAGAGCAATGATCCAAGCTAGACATGGAGCAATTGAAAAAGAAAATTCAAGCAGAGAAAGAGGAAGAATGATTTAGTCAATAGAGAAGGTTAAGCTCTTTGAAGCTATAACAACTTACCCCAAAATAAATAGTAACCAATGTAAATGTCCACCTGTCCAAAACCAAAAACATCACAAATTAGAAGCTAAGTAAAAGATTTGATGATTTATATTCATATAAATTGTAATTAAGAGCAAGTTTCACCATTATCAAGCATTGTAATTAACTTCATTTGCATTACCATGAAAAATCAGAGATTGGTTTCAAGAAATGACAGCTTACTGTGTGTAGAAGAGAAAAATGCCACCACCATCCACAAAAGCTGTGATGATGAGCAGAACCAAAAGCACAAAGAAAGCAAAAATTCTAAAAGCCAGAAGCCAGGCTGGGTGAATGCCTTTGAGGCATGGTCTCCAAGTTTCATCCTCATACAAAGTTCCTGCAGATATTTCTTGCTGGGTTTCTCTGCTGCGACGCTTCGAACTACCCGGCCCTTCAAATTTGCATACGAGAATAACTGAAAGTGTCATTGAAGTCAGAACCCATATGGTACAAAGCAAGACCCTCCAGTTGAACCAGTAACTTGGGGTTGTCGTATCTGCAGTCATGATTGGCTGCCAAGAACCTTTTGGAACTCCTGTTAAAAAACTCATGATGTTACTTTTACTCCCCCGTTTGTTTTCACTCACAATGAATTGGGATGCCTGGAAATTTGTTCTCAAATCTTCAAACAATAAAAAAACAAATGGGAAAATTTGAGGAAAAAAGGCAACTACAATCCCAACGAAATAATTTCTAGTATGGTAAGTGATTAATGCTAAGAACCCAAAAGGCAGAATATGTTTTCAAAATCAAAGCTTGAAAAAAAAACTCAACTTTGACGAGCTTATTACAGAAAAAACAATCTCAGAATAAAGTAGAGGAATAAATTTGATGAAAAAGTAAAGCTGAAATGCTCAAAGCAACAACCAAATGACAAACAAATTTATGAAAACCCAGATCCAGAAAGGCAGAACAGAGAACCAAGATAGGATAGTACTGATGCAAAGAAACCACATTTAAGGGAAATGGGAAGTTCTAGACTTATAGTTATGCAGAAGAACTGGTTTTGGGTTCGAATGGAAACTCAAAAAAAACAAAACAAAACAAAACCCATGGCCTATATGAACACATTAATGCTTGAGACTAAACAGAGATTCCAAACTTTAGGTGGGTTTTTGCACAGAAAGCTACAAAACCGACATTTCTATTACAATTATTATTATAAAACAAAATGAGATAAAAGAAGCAGCTGAATTCTAAGCAAAGGAAAGGTTGATACTTACAAGGGAAAGCAAAGAAAACGTGGTGGTGTGTTAGAGGAAGAGATGCGTTGCTTCTTTGCTATGGAGAGAAAACTAAACGACAGACTCTCAGAGAGACAGAGAGAGACAGACAGAGAGAGAGAGAGGAGAAAAGGATGGTATGCTTTGAGCATAAGGCATGAGCTTCACTTTCCCTTTCTTATATATTATTATTATCCCAACAAAATCTTGTAAACAGAGACCAAAGTCCTTTGTAGTTCCATGCAAATATAAAATTACAGGGAAATGCGTGCTTTCATCACCTTTCTTGGACAACCAGACTTTTATTATGTCTTTTTTAAGTTACCAATATTAAAAACAGACCAACCAGAGAACAATTGTCTTTGAATTTTTTATTATTATTGGAATTAATGCTTGAAGATGCCTTTTGAGTCATTTAACTTCCCCAAAAAGGGCAAAAAGCAATTGGGTTAAGTTACCATGACCTGCAACAAGACCTAAGTTTGACCAATGATTTTGGACCCAGGAAGTCATGATGATTTCAATCAAAACAGATATCATGAAAATATTGGGAGTTAGGAGAAGTGGGACCCATTTATTTAAGCAGCTAACTTTGCATGGCTGATTGGAAACATCATGGGGTCTCTAATATGCAAAGGGCAATGATCATGTTAGCTTTCAGTTAAGGCATGAGATTGTTGCTGCTCATAGAACTTGCCTGTTAGACCAGGAATTCACTATGATCTTATTAGTTATTTTTCATGTCCTTCTGGCCTGGAAATTAATGAAATTTAATAAATAAATAAATAATGGAAAAATAAAAAAACATTTTGTAAGCCACTGGGTGATGGGTTCCTCTGTTTTACAAAAGTAGAACCAAAATTCACCGCCCCTAGTGGCTTTATAGCTTTCATCATCAATAAAGAGAAAAAGAAAAAGACACCGAAGAAAGAAAAGAGAGAGAAAATAAATTAAAATTAAAATTTTTTTTAAAAAAAAGGAGGAAAAAATTAACAGTGCAGATTAAAAAAAATATTCCATTCAAAACGAGCAAAAGCTGCTGCAGACCATTTATTTTTACTGTTTTGCTTTTGAAGATAACGTGTTGCACAATCAGATTAAGATGTAGAAGATGACATGTACAAACAACAGGTGTCAACATAGCTTGTTTTGTTATGGCGGTGACAAGTGTGGTCGCCAAGCAAGCACAAATCTAGGCAGACGCTATGTTCAAACAACAGGTGTCAAAATAGCTTGTTTTGTTAAGGCGACGACAAGTGTGGTCGCCAAGCTAGCGCAAATCTAGGCAGACGCTACAAATTACTTGGAGAATGGGCAACAAAATTAGTGACGCTCATCTTTCTATATATAATGAAAAGATTAGTGACTTTTAAGAGCCCACAAAAGGGGTTAAGGATAGGATGTGGATATGTTGGTATATTATTGCACCTTTTCGAGAAGACATCTAATACTAGTTTTAGTAATTAGTGTTATAATTAAGTGCTTAAAGAAATTAAAATAATAGTAGACCCGACGCCTCACGACCAACACGGGCGAATTGGTTATGATAATTGTGAACAACACTAATTAGTTTTTGAAAGATCACTAATTAGGTTTTGGAGCTAGAAATTGAAGAACAAAATTTATAATTAAGCGAAGGGAAGTTTAATTAGGGGCAAACAAAACTATTCTCCATACGTCAGGTATAGATTTATACGGAAGATTCCTCCTCCCCTTCAGTTAGTTGCAGTACCAAAAGCATGAATATATTAGCCAAAAAAAAAGGAAATGAGATTAGTTGGTAGACAATAGGCTTTTGGCAATTCATAGCACATATATACTCTTATAATAAACTTAAAAAATAGATTAAAAAATCTATGAACAAAAACCAACCTAGTTTTTTTATTTCCTTATAGTGAATATTAATTCCAACCACATAATAAAAATTATGGTAAATAACACAAATTAGAGACGCTAGTAGGGTATAGCTCAGTTGGTTCGAAACCCCCCAAGCACCCATGAATGTTTGTATGTAAACAAAACAGAACACAAATTAAAGACATAATTCCTACATATAAATGTATGCATGTATATGTATTTGTGTATTTTGAGAGAGAGAAACACACCTATAATGGAAGTTTTCATATCGAGTGGGCGAGACAATGAAGGAGAGCCCAAAATTGAGTTTGCAGCAGCTGATGAGTTATTTGCTTAAAATAAGTGACTAAAATGACAGAGAGCCTCCCATTTCTTGAAGGCTCTTATATGAAGTGGAAATAATTATATATACGGAAGCTAGAGAGAGAGAGAGAGAGAGAGAGAGAGAGAGAGAGAGATGGAAGACTTGATATGTATGTGTTTCCCTAGTCTACCAAAATGGTTAGGCTTTGGCTGTTAGACATGCAATATACACGATCATGAAATAAGTGTGGATGTTAATAATAATTGAATATATATAAGTTTTCTTTTATATAAAAATAAATAAATAAATTGGGACTTCCAGGCACTTGACTAGGTGTCACTTCTGGGAAACTTTGGTCTTACACTCAAAGTCAAAATAATATTTGTTAAATAAATAAAATAATAATAATAATAATAAAAAAGTAGCCTCCTGGCTAGCAATGTAAAGAAAAAAAGGTGCACCCAAATGGCACAGCCTGCACTGCAAAATATTAACAAGCTTCATAAGCCTTGTGCAAGTTAACATATCTATACATGCGCGTCGGTTAATATTGTCCAATCCATTTTCACCTGCCATAATTTTGAATGGTAATCTCCACCGTTTGCTTCAAAAGGGCACATGAGCTTTTCCGAAGCCCAGTAAATTGCAAGGTGACTCTTTTTGGGGCCTCAAAGGTTACGAGTCAAGTTCATGAACTACAGGTGTGATTTCCTAAAGAAATTTATCTTCCTTCAGCTAGAAGATTTGTTTACAACAAGAACGTTACATAAAGCTCGAGAGGGAAGTCGAGCAAATCGATCTTTGCTTATATATGACACCAGAGAAAGAAGGGAAGTGTGTTCATTTGATAGGGGTGAGCTTTCAACACAACACCATCCAACACAAAAATTAACAGATTAGGGTTAACTACACGTACCCGAGGGGCCGAGACCAATACAAGATATGACATTTTAATGACTCTCTGAATTGATATTGCACAAAGAAAGAAAAAAAAAATCAGATTTTCTTTTCGTTGTTACCTTTCCCGATTCGTCATCCTACATTTCATCGAACATAATCGGTACATTCGAAAGATAACAGAACATATGCCCAAAAGTAGGGCATATCAATCAAGCCTGTATGTGGAATGTGAGCATGTGATACAAACAGAACTAGGTAACATCTCAAGATTCTATCTTATCATTTAAATGCACTGTTGGAAGCAATTTGAAAAACTTTCAATTGAAATATAACATTTTTCATTAGTTAATTTTTCATTGTTCAGGCTACGGTTAAGCATCATTCCTTAGATATATATGACATATAATCTGCAATTGAAAAGACTATCATAATTGCATAAGCCACATCAAGACAACTTTGCACGGCTGATTGGAAACATCATGGGGTCTCTCTATTATGTAAAGAGCAAATGATCATGTTAGCTTTCAGTTAAAGCATGAGACTGTTGCTGCTCATAGATAAAGACCCACCTTGAAAGTGTCACATTTTTCATTCACCATGATCTTATTAGTTTAGGGCTCGTTTGATAACTATTTCAATTTTCATTTTCATTTTTTGTGTTAGGATATAAAGGAAAATGAGAGGGAGAACGAAAGTGAGGATGAGATTGAGAAAGAGGATGAGAGGGAAGGATGGGAGGGAGGAGTAACAAAAGTATATATGTATATATTTCTTAGAGGCATAATTCCTACATAGATATGTTCATGGTCCCAAATATATGTATATATGTGTGTGTTTTGAGAGAGAGAGAGAGAGAGAGTGGCCACACACAATTAACAATGGTACGGCCTGCATGCACTGCAAACTATTAACAAGGTCCATATCTTATTATGATCTTGGCACTGCGTGCACTGCATATGTTTCTAAGCTTTATTTTTTCACTTTAGGCTTATTAATTAAAATATATATTATCTCTTGATCTTAGCTTTATCTTGTGTGATGTATCTTAGGCATGTGATAGAAAGTTATGCTACCTTCAGCTATAAGAGTTGTTTATAACAAGAATGTTGCATAGAGCTCTCGAGGGGGAAGTCCAGCAAATCTTTGCTGTTATGACACCAGAGAAAAAAGGGAAGCGTGTACACTTTGAGAGAGGTGAAATTTCAACACAACATCATAATAGGATCAAATCAAACACACAAATTGACGGATTAGAGTTAACTAGCATTAACATGTACCCAAGGGGGTCGATACCAATACAAAATACGAATAATCTACGCTTTGACATGACTCTCTAAATTGATATTGCACAAAGAATATATCTGATTCTGTTTTCATTGTTACCTTCCCCGATTTGTCATCGTACATTTCATCGAACATACTCGGTGCATTCGAATATTTATTGAGAGGCTTATTAACTTATCATAGAGTTCACATCAGGCAACCGTGCAATGGAAGCATAAAGAATGACCGTCATATAGGACTTGAATAGCTAGAGAGTAAACAAGCTTGGATTTCAAAACACTTGATCCAGGCAACCTCTAGGCTATTGAGAATTTTGCACCACCATATTCTCTTACAAAACTGTCACAAAAACCTATACTTTCATATTTACAAATTAATCATTCTCGCAAACTTGCTACATAAAAATGTATTCATTTGTATACCTATTCCCCCAAGAACAGAAATGATTTTTGCACTTAAAACTGTTGAATATAACGTACAATAATTATAAAATTCCAATGCCTCTCGAAATCGACTTCACAACTCACTTGTCAAAATTCAAAAGGTGTCAATGTCATCTCCCAATACCGAGAGGGAAAATGGGGCAATAGCCACGTTAAATGATTGTGAACTTACCCTATTGATGTGTTTCATCTCAAAGTCACCTTCCTGCATTGTACGCAAACAATAAGTATATCAATTTTTTAAGGTTGCAGTTGGATTTAACGATTTCAAATGAAGGATATTGATGTGCGGCTATTCAATTCAGGTTTGTTTTCATCAAAATTTCAAAGCATAAAAATGGAGAAGAAAACTCTATTTCTAAATGATTCATAGAGTAGATTTTAAATAACACCTTTTGCATGAGTATTTGAAAATATTCATATTCAAACAATCAAATTTACATTATTTACTCGTGAATCGTAAGCATACAAAATTAACACTTCTAGAGTCTCGTTAAACAATTCATACTAAGAAATCAAATCCAACTATCTTTTTCTAAATCCACAAATCCAAGCGCAACACAAGTATTTTAGTCCAAAGAAGAAGCAATTCAAATGATTTGGAAACTATCAATGATGATCAAATGAAATTTGAAACTTTATTTTAAAACAATGGAAGGACGAGAACATAGGTTTTAACCCAAGGATCTTTTCCTCCTAGCTATATTCATTGCTCATTAGATCCGAAGGCGATATATTAATCTCCATAAATTTAGGCAAAGAACTTTCAGTATAACAGAAGAACAGGGGTCAGCCTCACAAAACGCCATCATTGGAGTCTACTTACTCTTGATGGGTTTACACCTATAGGTTACTCAATGTGCATGGACTGCAACAAATCCATCCTCCATGGCACATAAGCCTAAGGTAGGGAATATCAGACAAGCCTATATTTGGAATGCTTTGAAGCAATACAAACAGAACTAGGTAGCATCTCAAGATTCTATCTAATCATTTATATGCGTTGTTGGAAGCAACTCAATTGAAATTTAACATCTTTCATTAGTTAACTTCTCAGTGTTCAGGCTATAGAGCTTTATTTGAAATATTTATCCAATATTAAGCATCATTCCTTAGGATATGACATATAATCTGCAATTGAAAAGACTATCATAATTGCACAAGCCACATTCAAGAAAGTTTGGCCTTCTTTTCCTTTCCTTTTCTGATTGTCTCAATTTACAAGACTAATAAAATATACTTTTTAAATAAGTTTTCATGGAAGAACAAAAGAAAAAAGAAGGGCCCCATCTTACCATTCTTCCGGTGGGAGTGCTTAATGGGCAGGCAGATGAGTATTCAAAACTAGCTTGAGGAAGAATAACAGGCTGTTCACCGATAACCCCAATCCCCCTACGATGAGCGAAAAAAGCCCACACAAAATATTTGGTAAAAAAGAAGAAGAAAATATGAGAGTAGCAATTCAAAAATAAGATATCCAGAAGAGATAACAGATAGCATGGAAAAGAAAATTAACTCACCATACATTCTCGGATTTTCCGTTGGCATCAGTGATAATCCAATGTCTTCTAAGAAGTTGAACAGGGCGATCTGAGTTATTGCTAATTCGTATTCTATATGCAAAGAAGTGTTGCCCCTTTGAAGGCTGACTTCGTCCCTCTATATACACACTTCTAACTTGAACCCGAATGCCCTAATGAAACAAAGATTTTACTTCAAATTCAGCAAACTTTCTATTTAACTTCTTTTCTTTTGGTCAAATTACTCTGGAAGTGTTTTATTTCCCACTTGAATTCTCAAGTGCAGTCATGATATTAAAAATTGCACCAAAGTATAACATAACTGGAACAATATCTGAGATAAAACCAAAGCAGCATGAACCTAACACAAATAAAATTTAAATACGTAATGAAGTTGGCCAATAAAATACCAAACAACTACTATTTCAATTGGTAATTAGATAGAACATTCTCATACCAAGGTGGTTGCATCACTTGAACATTTCAAGAAAGAGTAAGGGGCAATTTCCTTTAGCTCATCTCGATACTTAGCTGCATCCTGAGCACATCAGAATAAATAAATCCTTCAAATGAATTTGGTATCGTATTTTTTTAGCTCAATGCTAAGCAATAAACACCCACCAAATGAAATCAATATCCTTTCTTTGAAACAAAAAGAAAAAAAGAAAAAAAAAAACTGGAGTTAATTACCTCAAACCTCTCTTCAGCGATTGCCTCCTTTATCTTTCTTCGGAGCCACAAAATCGGCTCTTCTTCTTCTAACAACTTCAACGAGTCGCGTATCCTCGCAGCCTCTTCATAATCCTGTAATTCAATACAGAGCTCAAAACCGTAAATCCTCTGTTTGGTTTCCAAGAAGAAACAAAGAGAAAACAGAAGAAAATTCCAAAATGCTTGCTTTGCCAAAATAGTCACCTCCGTATTTGCAGCAACCTCCATTTGCTGCTTCAACAAAGCCCAGCTTTGACTCCGAGAAAGAAACGAACTAGATTTCTGACCCGCACCCGAACTCGGGCTCGAACTCGAACTCGGACTTCCGCTCCGGCTATTTCCATTCCTCTCCGGAACACACGCCACGACCCGACCCGATTTCCCGAAATCTCTAAACCCCGGCCCGAATCTCAAGTTCCGGAGCTCCGAATTCGCAGCACCGAAGCTCCCCCGGCCCGGCAAACACGTCCTCGTCCCCGAGCAGTAATCAGTGCAGACTTTGAGGCTCAGGGAATGCATTATCTTCTTATTTCTCCAATTCTCCCAGAATTTTATCTTATTTTCCCTCACTTTCCTTCTGGCCTGGAAAATTCAAAAGATTTTCTCTGGAAAATTTTATAATGAGCGATTTGGATTGGAGGGTTCCAATTTGGAGCGAAACATGAGGAAATTGGAGCGGTGGTTTGTGTCCGGAAAGTACATTCACTGATCGCACGTGTTTTGCGGGATATGCTTAATATCCTAATTCCTATATTAGCTAATTCATTTTATCCATAATTCTATTTTTGGACTGTAAACTACTAAAGTAGCCCTACTAAAAAATGCTCATGGCTGACAGCTTGGACAGCGTGTAGGGGCAATGTGGGGAATGTGAACACAGTGGATATTTTTGGTTTTGCTACTTGTGACTTGTGAAGTTGTGAGGTGTGAGTATGTCTGAGCCTCAAATTGAGGGAGCTTGGATTTTTTTTTCCTAATTATGGAAGAAAAGGTTACACGTGAACCGTTCTTTATTTTTGTATATTTTTGTTTGGTAATATTTTCACGCTACTCTTGGCAAAGGGAGAAAAAATGAAAGAGTGTTGCTATTTCCACTCACCTGTCATATTTCTTCACCCACCTAATATTGTAAATTTTAAAGACCAATTTAGTCCTTTACAAAATGACTTCTAAGGACTTGAGGGAAAATCATTAAAACCAATTAAAAAACATAAGAAAATGATTATTAAAAAAACTAAAAAGATTATTAACAAATATCAAACCCCTTCCCTCACAACACGCACACCCCACCCTTCTCCCTCTACTGCACGGCACCCATCTCCCCACACTTTCCCAAGCACCCATCTGTACCCCGCACCCGCACAATCCATCCCATTCCCCCCCCCCCCCCCCCCCCCCCCCCCCCCGCCCGTTAAGAACCATATGAATATTGGAAAACCAGAGCTTTACCCACTGACAAGAACATAGTTTTCATTAGGGATGACATTTTAGACCCAAAAACCAACCGACAATTTACCTCAATCGCTAAAAATCGAACCGCATTTGCAGTATGAAGAACCGAACCGCATTGGTGGTTACGGTATTTAATTTTCAAAACTTGCGGTTACCGCAAACCGCAACTATATTTTTTTAAAAAAAAAGAAAATTGCAATTTGTAGATAGCATTTGTGCTCAAACAACACAACGAGGTCCTTCAAATCCACTCACCACAACCAATACTTGAGTTTGTGACATTGGTGCATTGCATTTTCCTTTTAGTTTGTAACTTTAATTAACTTTGAATTGGATTTTTCCTTTGGTATGTAACTTTAATTCATTTTGCATTGCATTTTCCTTTTGGTTTGTAACTTTGAAGGATTTGGAATTGGAATGCTTGAGAAGTTGAGGTTGTGAATGCTTGAGAAGTTTAACTTTAATTGGAATGCTTGGAATGTAACTTTAATTTTCTTTAGGTTGTGAATCCTTGAGAAGTTGATGTTGTGAATTCATTTATTTAGGTTGTGAATTTATATTTCTGGGTTAAAGTATGCTTGAACTCAAGGCTTCAAAAGAAGCATTAAAATTAGGCCTAAAATGTGGAAGATTGGATTTTTATGACACAAAAAGAACTTGCGGTTTTAAACCGCTAATTCACTGTAACCGACTGCTTTTTGCGGTTTCAAAAATCAACATACCGCAAATAGTCTGTCCGTTTGCGGTTTGGGTAAAAATTCGCGGTTACCAAACCCTAACCACCCCTATCTTTCATTATCAATTCCACTCATATCTTCAACTTTGCCCGGAATCATATCTTCCGTTACCCAAACCCACCAACTTGGTTCTTCATGGTCAACATTGATGAGAATTTCAACTGCCTCCAAATCACTTCCTAAAAAACAAACATGTATTTTAAACAAAGCCCAATGCTTTAATGATTATATGGGCAAAATTAAAACAATTAAAATACCTATGGCCACCTTGAAAGGAAATTGATTTTAGATTCCTGCTTTAGAGCTCTGATTGGTGTCAAAAAGTTGATTGAATCCACAACAGTTTCTCAGTGGTGGAGGCGATGGTGGTGTAGAGGCTTGGGTTTTTGGGGATGAATCTGGGTAGTGGGGTGGGGCTAGGGATTGGGGTCGGGGAAGGGGTGCGGATGAGTTTTTTGTTTTAAAAAATTTCTTATTTTTCAATTGAGTTTTATAAATTCTATGAATATTTTATTACACCTGAATATAAAAACAAGCAAAAATATAGAATTGACTCTTAATATTATAATTAAAGGGTATTTTATGAATAATAGTGGGTGGAAAGATAGGATTGTGTTTTTTTAAATTTATATAGTGGGTGGGAAGATAAGGTAGGTGGAAAAATAGGACAGGTGGGTGGAAATAGTAACACTTAAATAAAAATGGCTACATGAATTTTGAGTTAACTCTCTATCTTGCTTAAGGGGAGGTCATGAATAGTAAAGGTCATGTAAAATGGAACAATTACTCCCCCTTCTTAATTAATTTTGTTTTCGTGTATTGAATTATAAACTGTAATGTGGAATTCACATATTTCTTAATTTCGTATGTGCTACAATGAGGGGTTTCTACAAAAATGTTGATCAACACTCTCCTCAAACATGTATGAGAAGACTTAAGGATGGGCATCGAGATCAGAAAATCGGAATACTGAACCGCATCATACGAAAAGAAAAAAGGGGGGGGGGGGGGGGGGGGGTGGGATGTTGATTAAAACGTCAACAAATAATCACCGAATCAAATTGGATTGGTTCAAACCGATTCCGATGCCAGTTTCACACCTTACAAAACCATACTGAACAGGACAAGGTTTGTATTTTTATTTTTATTTTTTAAATATTTAAGTATGATATTTATAATCTCATAACTAATATTTCCCTATGCCCAACTTCAAAGCACCTCTCTTTTATAGGCCCAATCATCTATTTTTGCATTAAATTGAGTCATTTGTGATTTTTTAAGCCCAACAAATAAAATTTTAGTTGGAATTTGTAAAAAATATATATCCAAAAAACCTCGGTCCAAAATCGGAAAACCCGAAAATTGCACCGAAATCGGTTTAAATCAAACTGACCATTTTCATAAAAAAATTTCACTTGGACCAAACCATACCATTGAATTGTAATGCTTATGGTTCTGTGTGAGGTGGAAATGGGACCGGACCATGCCCGCCCCTAAGAAGACCTGGAAATTATATGGTCATATGTAATCAAAGAATAATAGGTAATTGTACAAGAAATAATGTATAAAATCGTCCTTACCTAGATATTTATATATAATACAACCATAGTCTAAAATATCAATAATATCGACGAAATATTGAGATATTTTTTTTTTTTTTTTTTTTGTCATGGATATTTCGGAATGTATCCATATACATATCGTATAAATATCGATGTCAATAATTTCGCTCACACTTCAGCAATAATTTGTCAAAACATCGCTATAATATCGAAAACATGGAAATATTGATGTGAATGGTAATGGGGGGGGGGGGGGGGGGGGGGGGGGGGGTGGAATACAAAGCACATATGCAAAGGGGATTCAAACCCCTGCCATTTCACTATTTCAACGCCTTAACCACCATGTTACTTATGTTTTTGTGATAACATGCTAAAATATGTATATTTATATTGTTTTGTTTTCAACTGTTTTTGCAAGAATAAGATTTTCACATAAGAATGTGAGTCTTTGACCTTTCCTTTTAGGATGGAATTGAGCGGCTCATGGAAATAATCCGAACCCAATCTTCAAATGATTTTGCTTATGGACAACGTCAACTAATCTCGAATCCATATGGATGACATGTTAACAATTAGATGCAAAACTATTTTGGGGATTTATCATTTGATGACTACTCTTCACAATACACTTACGCTAAATATAGAGATGATGAAGATAGTGAAAATTTGAACCTCATAGGAACTCTATGTGGTACTACGTCACTCATGTATCTTACCATGCAATGTATAAAGGGTAAAATATTGTAGTAAATCATTATATATAAATGATTATGGTGTGTTTAATTTTCTTTCATTAATTACTACATATTTTCTACACTCACAGTGTTTGTTAGCTCGCCATATAATCAACTTAAATCAGTTAAACCCATTATGCAATACATTTCCTTCCAATTTTTTTTGTGATAAACTAATAGATAATTGACTAAATAAACATCTTCCAAAGTTTCAATAACAAATTTCAAGTTTTTCTTACAATTTCCGTGGTTTTTATTTAATTTTTATCAATATCGATAATATCCCTATATTTCCATCGAAATTTTCGTGTTTTTTGACTATCGATATTTTAGACCTTGAATACAACATAAAAAGGGAACACATTGTTTTTAATTTAACTCATAAATAGTAAGGTGAGGTCATGAATAGTAAATGTCATGTAAAATGGATGAACTACTCCCCCTCTTAATTAATTTAACTCATTGTTTTTGTGTGTTGAAATATAAAGGGTTAATGACAGTTTAGTACTCTATGGTTACACTCTTAAGATATGTCAGTCCCTATCTTCTCACTTTTTACCTGGGTTTTTTAAATTTATTACAATGTGGTTCCACTGTCAGGGTTTCCGTTAGATATACCGTTAGTTGCCTACGTGGCATTTATGGGTCTGACATTTTGTTTTTTGTTTTTATTATTTAGGTGTAATAAAATATTCTTCAATTAAAAGGCTACAAAAATATATATATATATATATACCCAAAAACAAAAAAAAACCATCAACCCTAAGCCACCCCTTCCCCAACTCCAATCCAATCCCTAGCCTCATGTGAACCTTCCCTTAATATGGGCAGTGGAGTTGGGAATAGGTGGTTTGGGGTTGTTGAGTTTTTTTTTTCTAGCCTTTTTAATTGAAGAATATTTTATTACACCTAAATAATAATTTAAAAAAAATATGGGACCCATAAATGTCACGTAAGCAACTAACAGTAGATATGATGGAAACACTAACAATGGAACCATATTATAACAAATTTAATATGTAATTGTAAAAATTGAGAAGATATGGGCTGTCATGTCTTAAGGGTGTAACCACATAGTACTAAACTATCATTAACCCAAATATAAATTGTAACATGAAATTCACACGTTTAAATTTCATATGTGTTAATAACCATAAAAAAATTTCATAAATTATAAATCTTTTAATACTCATTTCATACATATAACACATGTAATAAACAACTTTGAGTTGAATTGATGTTTTCATCAATATTCATTTTATGATATATAATTCAACCCTATATATGAATTCCAAATTGAATACCAATGAATTTTACTTTTTATTTTTTATTTTTATGCAAGTGATATTGGGAAAGGGAAATCAAATTTAGGATCTCGGGTGTATGTAGGAGTATTTTTATGCAAGTGATATGCAAGTTCTTAATCATTTGAGATACAACCTCCTTGCACTGATGAAGGTTATTTTAGATACAAATGAAATATCAGATTTGGGTTATTGTTAGCAACAATCAACCTCATAATTTAATTTGAACAAAGATATATAGATCCCAAATTGAATACTAAGGAAGGTTATTATAAGACTCAATTATAGCCAATTATTTTTAAAAAAAATCCTTGTTCCACCCTTAGTTGAGAATTCGTTAAAATAATATTTTACCTCACTTTCAAGTTTATTTATAAACTTATCATGCAAATTATACATGTAAGACATGAATTTGGCACTCCCACCATATGAATGAAAACGATGAACACCACCTCTTATGTTGGATTCAAACATTAGTCCATGGCCTCAAATATTAAACTCAATGTCTAGAAAATGATAATAAAATTGATATGAACCAATCCTAACTCATAGGAGCCACTCCAAGTCTCCAACCAGCAAGGTTGGTATGACAAGTACTCTTTTTTTTTTGGTAAAATGACAAGTACTCTTTGGCTGTCGCCTCATCACTCTCACAATCTCCACTCGTCAAAAACATGACTAACTGGCTAATTAGGTTTTGTTTTTTGTTTTTCATAATAAAATTAGGTATTTTTAATCACTTGCCGGGTTGGTAATGACTTTCCCACTCAAAAAGATGAAAAATCGAAATCCAATTTGCCCGGCCGCCTACCCCCCACCACCAAACCGTCAATTACTAGACCCCACCACACTCTGAATTATTATTTTTTTGTTGGGCCACTCTTAATTCTTAAAGCAAGCCAACCAACCAACACTACAATATAAAAAATAATTTTAAAAAAAGACTACACAAAAGGATAGGAAAACACACAAAAATTTAAAATAAAATAAAAACTTGTAATTTTTTTTCATCTTTGTTTTTTTTGGGTCAAAGTCGCCGGAAAATTTTATTCGAAAACGAATAGAAAGATTTACATTGGCTGCAAGAATATTAAAGAGCCATTCAGTTCCAACATAATCCCAAACATGAGAACCCCCTGTCTAGAAACAAAACAACTACCGCGTGTGCAGTCCGATTACAATGCCAGGAGGCAAACACAAAAATCACCCATGTATTTACTTGGATACTTTTGTAATATGAATTCATAAAGCACAATTCAATGTATTACGATTAATTTATATTTTAATATAAAAGCGTAAATTCATCAGTTTAACAGCTATAAATGTGTTCACATATAAGAAATTAAATTCCACAGAAACTGTAACCGAGATTTTAAAAAAAATTTCTCAAGAAATAAACTGCTCAGCCGCATAGGAATATCCTACATTTAGGAATTTCGGAAATTCAGATTCCGCTCTGTTTATTTATTTATTTATTAATTATTATATTTCTTGCGATTTTATTTCCATTTCCATATCTATTTCTTTTTTTTTTCTTTTTTTTTTTGCTACTCTGTTACAAATGCACATTGCTCTCCAGCGCTCTCTGTATAGACAAAGCCAACCAATCTCGATCCTCGACGGACTCTTCGAGGCCCTTCCGTACTCTCTCCTCTCTCCTCTCTCTCTCTCTCACGCACAGTCTCGGCCTCTCGATCTCAGATCTCAACTTCTGAGCATCGGAAATGCAGAGCGCAACCTTCACTCTCTCGCCTTCTCTCCGGCTTCCGAAGCCTCGGAGACAATCGAGCGCAACTTTGAACCCTAGATTCGATCCTATACGTGCATCAGCCTCTTCGAAGCCTAACAATCTCGCGCCTCTTACGAATGGTACCCTCTCTGCTTCTCTACCTCGCCGATCCTGGTCTCTCTCTTCATCTTCTTCTAATTTCAAGCTCAGGCCATGGACTTCCGTGCCTTTAGTGGATTCCGATGCCGGAACGAGTCGTTTTGAGGTCAGGGCTACTGCAGAGAGCGCTGAGGAGAGCTCTGAGTCTAGCAGCATGTTTAAAACGCTTGAGCTCGGGGCGTTGTTTGGCCTCTGGTACCTATTCAACATCTACTTCAATATTTACAACAAGCAGGTAGTGTTTGTTTATTTGATTCTGATTATTATTATTTTGCGGAAATGCGCGATTGCTGCGGATTTGTTGATTTTAGTGTAGTTTTGGATGAACGTGAATGGTTTTGCAATTCAAACGGTGACAATTTTTTTGTTACAATTGATTTGATTTTGTTTTGACTCTTTTTTCTTTGGCGGAAAAAGTTTTTAGGAAAGTTTGCCCGATATTTGACTTTGTTTTTTCTCTTAAAAAATGTGTAAGAAGATGAAAAATGTGGATTTTATTCATTATTGAATAAAAGGAAATGTAATTTTAAAAACATAGTATTTTTTTGAAAGGTTATAAAAAGAGAATCTGTAACAGTTAGGATGGAAATTTATGCCAATACTATGGCCAAAGCAAGTTAAAATATAGTGAAACCGTAGATTGTGTTTGGTAAATGCAATTTATGGAGCATGATTAGCGAAAACTTCTTCTTCACAGGTCTTGAAGGTGTTCCCAAACCCAGTAACTGTCACTGGAATACAATTTGCTGTTGGGACTGCCCTTGTTCTGAGTATGTGGGGTTTGAATCTCTACAAAAAGCCAAAAGTTAGCGGTGCACAGGTAGATACTAGTTTGCTTAAGTCAAGTGTTTGATATATTGATTTCCTTTAAGTGATTCTTATTTTGAGCAACTTGTCAACAGCTTGCAGCAATTCTGCCACTGGCGGTGGTGCACACTTTGGGGAACCTTTTTACTAATATGAGTCTTGGGAAAGTGGCTGTCTCATTCACTCATACGATCAAAGCTAGTGAACCATTTTTCTCAGTTATCCTTTCTGCCATGTTTCTCGGGGAGGTAAGGATTTCATAAATATTTTCACCACAATATCTTTCTATATGCAGCACATCTTTTATAATTCTTCAATGTGTGTATGTTGTCAGCAGTCTTTTTTTTTGGGTGCAATGGTAAATTCTATAGGAATGATTGCTTGCTTTGCTAAATTCCAAAATTTGCATGAATAGATATGACTAGGCATCCAAGTATAATCCACCATGGGAATCCAATTGTAGCATTTTATGGCTTCGATTTTCTATTCATTGTTGGTTCATATAATTGATATTGTGTCTTACTGCTTATATAGATACCTACTCCTTGGGTGGTTGCTTCCTTGATACCAATCGTTGGTGGAGTGGGACTGGCATCAGTTACTGAGGCGTCGTTTAATTGGTAAGAAACTACAACATATTCTAAATAATGCCAAAAACAGAAGAGAGCAAAAACCACAGCATCTAGATGTGACTGATATATCAAGACATACGGATCCATTATTGTTTATCTGATAGAATTTTTTTGTTTTGTTTGTGAAAAGGGCTGGATTTTGGAGTGCTATGGCTTCCAATTTGACAAACCAATCTCGTAATGTCCTTAGCAAAAAAGTCATGGTTAAGAAAGAGGTAATATACGTTTTCCATATTGATGTTATGAATAATTTTTATATTGGTTATTTTGTGGTGGTAGGAAGTTGGAAAATTCTGATTGGTAGAAAATGGGACAAATAGTTGCACATAATTATTTTTTCATCTTGCATTCTTCTTTCATTTACTTGATTTTTATGTTTTTGATTTGTCTTCAATTGGCAATTGTCTTAACCAGCAGTTTGTTTTGAGCAGGAAAATATGGACAACATTACACTCTTCTCAATAATAACAGTCATGTCCTTTTTCTTGTTAACCCCTGTGGCTATCTTCATGGAAGGGGTGAAATTTACTCCAGCAGCCCTGCAATCTGCCGTGAGTATCTTTAAGAGCTAAAGATTGCTGCAGATAATTGTTGATTATATCAAAACTAATTAATTTTTCATCTCCAATTACAGGGATTGAATGTGCAAGAAGTATACTTTAGGTCTCTTATTGCTGCACTCTGCTTCCATGCATATCAGCAGGTTAGACTTTTTTCTGTTTTGTGGTTTAACTATCGTTGTTTATTTTTTCAATTTTCTTGGGCTTCTCATGACGTTTATTAAAGATGCATTCAGTTCATTGTTGACGTACTAAATTTAATTAAAAAATGCAAAAAATGAACAGTTTAAACTGAATATGAAACTTTCCTCGGATCATTCCCAATCACATGATGCTTCCTCTTACTTACACCATCGTACTCATGAAAATTGCTGGCTATTGGTGAACCACGCAGGTTTCTTATATGATATTGCAGAGGGTGTCGCCTGTTACCCACTCCGTCGGAAATTGTGTGAAGCGAGTGGTGGTTATTGTGAGCTCTGTCCTCTTCTTCAAAACACCTGTCTCACCTATTAACTCTCTTGGTAAAGTTACTTTGTACTGCTTGATTTTCAAAAGATGTAGAAATTGATTTCTTATGATGTATATCGACTTAAGTTACAGCAAACATGTTATGATGGATTTATAATTTTGTTTCGATATACAATGATGCAGGCACTGGAGTAGCGCTTGCTGGGGTTTTCCTGTATTCAAGGGTGAAGCGCATTAAAGCAAAGCCGAAGACTGCTTGAGTATTATGATGAGATTTTTCTCCCAAATTAATTCTAGGTCAGGCAGGGAACCTAAATAGTGTTTTGGATTTACTATTTGCATTTTTGGTTTTTTCTTGTAATTTTTCCTTTCCTTCAAATTTTCAATTGTAATTGAATTTTTCCAGGGGTTCACGATTTGAATGTAGAACATATTTTAAAGCATAAAAAAAATTTGTTAACCAAAAGAAAGAACATAAAAAGTTTGCCAAGTGAATTTAGGTCTATGTGATACGCTATACTTCATTTGGTGAATGCAGTGAAATAGATTCACAATTTTGATGAGTTGCAGACGAAGATAGAGTTAATTGATTGATACTTGTCTTTCCTTTTCCATTGTTTTTGGGCAACAAAAGATCTGGCTTTTCACTTGTTCGGGTCAGCCCACGACAGAATCATCTGAAGAAGTTTGAAACCAATAAGGCTATCTCCAGCCATGGGCCAACAAAGCCCATCTCTAACTGTGGGTTCAAATTTTTTTGGTCAGCTCTATCACGTTGTTTAATGTGCTTTTCAGAATCTTTTTTTTTCTTTTTTGATGATGAGAAATCTAAATATTGCAGTGAAATATATTACAATTACTCCACTCAATTGACACTAACAGTAGACAGTGTGAATTTCATACACAAAGTCATAATTCCTAAATCAACTCACGAGCCAATCAAACAAAATAAAACATGCATACAGTTTCTTTGATAATAAACCAAATATAATAAACATACCCATTTGCATAGCCTTCGCGAGCCAATCATAACTGATCCATTCGTGAATCATAAAAAATTAAAATTAAAATAAAAAAAATAAAAAAGGAGAAGAAAAGAGAGAGAGAGAGAGATTACTTGTAGTTTTTTCCCTTCAAAATTCCTTGTAGTGGTTCAGAGGAGATCAAAGTAAAGAAAAACACAAGCGAAAGATCCGAATCCAACCAAATTAAAAGATCATCAATATGGGTATGTTTGATTTGCTTACTTGTTCAGGCTATAATAATTTTAATAACTACATATATTATAGAGAAATTAGTCCTACAAGACATAGGTGATGGCTGGCTTACTTAATACTTTCCTTATTATTTCTATTCATTTTAATACTTTCCTTATTACTCATGTTCATTCCTATATTGACCGGGAGATTTCTTCCTATTCTTATTATTATTTCTTTTCTTTCTTTTTTTGGTCGAAAATTATTATTTCTATTCATTCCTATATTAACAGGGAGATTTCGTATTCCTATTCTTATTATTATTTCTATTCATTCCTATATTAACAGGGAGACTTCGTATTCCTATATAATTAACGGAGAGATACACACAAGACAACACAAGAAGAAAAAGAACAACACAGAATAAGCAAACAAAACCAAAACCCAAATCAAAACCATGTCGAAGCCAGAGGCAGAGACACACCCTGAGCTTGTCAACAACAACAACAACAACAACCCATGCCTTGATCTCTTTTACAACGTCGGGGAAGAAGACGTTCACGACCCGGCCGTGATGGAGGCCTCGTGTAATTATGTGAAGCAAGTGCTACCGCTGGCCTGGTCCCACAATCCCCTAACCGCCCTCAAGCTCGTCTGCAACATACTGGATGGAAAGTCTAATCTCTCTGCCTTCTACACGGCTGCGTTTTGGCTCCACCACAACCACCCCAAGACACTATTGTGCAACCTGGCGTCTATTGTCCGGTCCTTCCGGGCTTTTTCCACCTCAATGAACATTGTGTACCACATCCTTCGAGAAGGCCAAGACATTTACAAGACTACTCCCCGTCGGGGCTACAACCGTTATCAATTGTTGCACAAGGCTGTTAAGCGGTACAAGCATGACCGCGATTATCAATTGTTGCACGACCAGGTTTCGGATCTTTTGGCCGAGATATTCAAGTCTGATATGGAGAAATTGAAATTCAAGGAGACGGAGGAGGAGCAAAACAAAAACAACAAATTGAAGCAATTATCTGAATCTGATAATGACGACAGAATAACCTTGGCTGCATGCGAAATGCATTATGCCTTGTCAACATTCTCGGACTTGAACCCCGACTACAAAATCACTTTGCTGCTTGAAAGCATTGCCAGGAAGTTTTTCCCGCCAGAAGAATATCACAAATTAGAATTAGATGGAGATCATGGTAAAGGAAAACGGGCCAAGGCCAAATATGCCGACAGGGTCATGGTCAAGCGGCTCAAGGATGAGGTTTTGCCCTCCTTGAAGAAGGCCTTCTTTGCCCAGGGTCATCCACCAGACGAGGCCAGTGCTGTTGAGACCTATTTGGAGAAGGTGAAAGCCAGCTGCTGCTGCAGTGGCAGTGCTGGCAAGATTTCGTCCTCCTCGTCGTCGTTGGCGGATGCTCTGCTTCCGCATGAGATCACAGGCTACGTGCACCAATGGAATATCGGCCGCGCTGCTGAGCTCCAGTGGAAGTCAATGGTGGAGGACGTCTACTCAAAGCAGGGCAAGTTCAAAAACTGGTTGGCTGTATGTGATGTCCACCCCAGATTCATGGACGACGAGGTCTCCTTGGAGGTCTCCTTGGAGGTCTCCATTGCTTTGGGGCTCTTGCTGTCTGAACTGAGTGAAGAGCCATGGAAAGGAAAGGTGATCCAATTCAGTCGTGAGGCTCAGCTACATTCCATACAAGGCGGCGACGATCTTAGGTACAAGTACGAGTTTGTGAGGAGGATGACCTGCGGTGTCGACCTTGATTTTGAGAAGCTGTTTGATTTGATTCTCCAAGTGGCTGTGAATGAGAACTTGAAGCCGGATCAGATGATCAAGAAGGTGTTGGTGTTGAGTCACGCGGACTTTGATAGTGCCAGTGTGGCCCAAACTTCTTGGGAGATTGATTACCAGGCAATACAGAGCAAGTATAAGGAGAAAGGGTACGGAGATGTTGTGCCACACATGGTGTTTTGGACTTTAACAAAGTACAACCCGGAGAAGCCGGTGGCGCCTCGTACACGACCGGGGGTGTCCATTCTCAATGGCTTCTCTAACAATCTGCTCAAGCTCTTCCTCGACAATGAAGGCGAAATTGGCCCCGACCATCTCATGGAATTAGCCATATCTGATGAACGTTATCAAGGTTTCACTATAGTGGACTGAGATTTATTGTAATTGGTTTATTATTAATTATCTTTTCTTTTTAATTAGTGCTGCTCTTAGCTTAATTATCTTGAGTTAGTTCGCCAAGATTGAAAGATTTGTTAATAAATCATTATTTTTGTAATGTTAAAACGTCTTTTTAATTGTTATCTTACATAACAATTAATAAATTAGTAATTAGCCCGCAAAGCGCTTCACCATAACTTTACATCTTGTTACAATAGTCATCTTTACTTGATACTATTACTAGTCTAATGGTGTTTGGGGGTGATAGAAACCCACCTAACCCGGGCACGAGAATTAACCGGACAAAAGAAGAAGAGCGGCGGGGCTTCTCAACTACGGAGTAGGGCGGAATGAAGCTGGGCAACCATTGGAGAAAGGGGCTTGCGAGAGCACGGCCGGATGCTTGCGTGGTTGAGAGAGTGGCCGGGTTCTGCTTGGAGTGTTGGCGGCCGAGATTTGTTCGAGTGAGGCCCGAATGTAACTAGGCACAATTTGGTGCGACCAGGCGTGATGAATAGGCAGCTGGGCTTACGAAACGGTTGGGCACGATCGGGAAAAGTTGGGCCTACGAGACGTGGGCGGATAGTTTAGATAGAGATTGAGTTCGGCCGGATCCTTTCTTCCAAGGCTACGGCCAAATGAAATTGTTGGCCGGGTTTTGAAGGGCTGGAGCTGAAGGTGCGGCCGGGCACATCTGGAAGGCCTTGAAAGCAGCTGGGCAGATCTGGAAAGGTTTAAATGCGGCCGGGCTCGGAATGGATTTATGCGGCCGGATTTTTGTTGCCCAAGGAGATGAGGCAGAAACTTGGGAGTTTCGTGGAAGCTGGAAGGCAAGTTCGGGCTGATGAATATGGGGCTGGGTTCTGCTAAAATTGCGGCCGAGATGTTTGGTTTTGAGCAAACAGAGTCTTGGAGTATGCGGATGTTGGTCTCCAATATTTGGGCTGAAAAGCTTTTGGTTTATTATATATATATATATATATATATATATATATATAATAGGGGGAGTAGATATCACACATGCGGCTGAAATTGAGAGTCCTGGGCAAAATGTTTTAAATGGGCAAGCTGTCTTGGGGCTGTTTTAAATGGGCAAGCTGTCTTGGGGCTGTTTTAAATGGGCTACTTTAGAAACTACATGCAAGTATATATATATAGATAGTTGAGTGAATGGCATGCACGCAGACGGATGCCCAAGTTTAAGTCATCCATTCACGCTCAGATTTTCGGAAGATTATGTGCACGTGATGGAGGCCTCACGAGGAAAGAAATCAAAGGATTCTTTTTATAGTAACTCCGAGTGTTCCAAAACAAGGAAGAATCAAGCATGTCAGAATATCAATGCAATCTCACGGATTTAGGAGGGCTTCGAAAGGAAAGATTTTAAAGAAGAGTTGACATTTGGTCATTCAATGGCCAGCCCATGGCTGACGAGTGCCCTATATAAACTTTGCTCAACGAAGGCATCAGGGAGACAACATCAGACAAACAAACCTATCTTTCGTCTCGCACTTTTCTTTTCCTAGACTTAGGATTTTATTTTTCAAGCACCTAGTGTAGTGAGTTCTTCATATTCCTAGTGTAAGTTTATATTTTCCTTGTCATTTAAATTCTCGTTCAATTTATATTTCTTGCCGTTTCAATTCAAGTTTATTTTGTTTCCTTTACATTTAATTGTTATCGCACTTCGATTAAATTTAACTTCAAGTTTATTTCCTTTTCGTTCTTATCGTTCTTATCGTTCTTATCGCTTTTATTTTATTCTTGCTTTATCTATCGCTTTGATTTATTTTATCGCATTTCAATTCTTGCCTTTACATTCTTTATTTACGCACTTTACTTTCCGCACTTGTCTTTCAATTATATTTAAATTCAAGCACCCTTTACTTTATGCACGTGTTATTCGTTTCATTACATTTCACCTTCAATCTTCATCTCCACCCACTCCACATCATTTGGTTGCTCACATAAAGCCTTGACTCTGAGGTAGTGAAAGAGCCTAGGCCGTGAGGAGGTTCCTTGCTCGGCCGAACAATCGTTTGATTAAAGTCAGATCTCGGACGCAACACATCCATCTACTCACATTCCATTCAAGCCCAAATTCGGGGCTTGGTGGTGGCACGCCCCGCACTCAAAAAAGAAGAAGGACCAAAAGTTCCTTCCGTCGGCCGCCCCGGCCGAAAAGAGGGTAACATAATTTGGCACGCCCGGTGGGACCACACTCTATGAGCGACCGAAAGGAATGGCAACATTCCTATCAGCCGACGAACTACAACGGCTATGATTCTTATGGCTCGAATAGCCAATCCATCGGCCAATATTATGGTCAATATAATTTTACCCATCAAGGTGGGCCTAACACCCAATATGGCTCAAGTAGTCAGTTTGGTGGCCAATATGGTAGGCTCAACTATATTGGCGGATATGATGTTATGAACCAAAATGGTTCAAATGATCAAAATGGCTATAGCGGCCAATATGGTTCGACGTATCAATATGGTTCTGGTAGCCAATTCAATGGCCAACATGACTATAATGGCCAGTATAATCAAATGGCCGGCGGACAATACACTTACTCAGGTGGCCAAAATAATTCGCCTAATATTTATGATCAGCCTAGTTATGGCTCCCACCAGATGAATCATCCTAATGGCTATGATGACCAAAATGTTCTTAGCGTAAGGGAAATGCCATATGTTGACCGCATGGACAAAGAACATCAAAATGTCATAAAGGAAATATTTGAAATGAAAGATTTATTTATGGAGATGGCAGTTTCCAACGAACTTTTGGTTCAACATTTGCGTGAAATCTCCATGCAACTTGCGAACGAAGAGCAAGTTCTTAGCCAACAAGATGAGGGGCAAACTCTCAACCCCAACCTTAATTCTCAGTCACAAAAGGAAAATTCTCATGTGGTTGCAAGCCGGCCACCCATTCCACCTACTCCTCTAGAGGAAAGGGAGGTTAGTAAGGAATATAAGAATGAGAAAGAGATGGGTGAGACGATGTTAGGATCAAATGTTCAAGTCGACCATCCTATTGAGAGCCTGACATTGGTTGAGGAAAAGGAGTACACCCAAGGGGATGAGACCCAAAAGATGGCCACCGATGAAAATTGCAATATGGTCCAACCCAAGGCCACTATTCTAGGATGTAATAACTTACCACCTAGTGAAGAAGGAGGTCGAAGCACGACCCAAGGTGGAATCATAATAGACATGATTGTAGGAGAAAAACTAGACATTGCGAGACCACAATTGCAAGTGGTCAAGTTTATTGAGCCCCAGCCAAAGGCCAAGATTGGCCGACCAAATGGACTTGGGGGGCATGAAGGGTCGGCCAAAGTGATGGCCAAAAGTCATCCGGGTAGTTCTAGTCATCCTAATATTTTAACCCATCGCCAACAAAAGGGCAAGATCCAAGTCAAGAATAGGAAGGGCTCCAAGCTTGGAGTAAAACATGGTTGGCCACCACCATGGTCTCCATGAAAATTTTGTTATACACGGCCACCTACTAGGTAGGACTTTAAGATTCAAATAAAGGTCATGGTTCATTCTTGAATGAATTGACCACTTTGTTATAAAAAATAATTTTAAAAAAAATGGCAATGGCTCAATATTGAGTTTCATCGGCGGAAGATGAATAACGCTTTAATTTCAGCCACAAAGGTGGAAGTTTGTAATTTTTGGGCGAAAGATGACTTGGGGTCATGTCCATCACCCAAGTAATCCGTCGAAGGGATTCACATCACTTTGGGCATAATCAAATGGTTGGTTCACTCCCTATGAATACTCAGCCACAAAATGTTTCGATCGCTCAACAAGAGCAAAATAGCCATGGCCGAGCAATGGCCCTCGGCCACGACCAAGTGTTAGTTGAAGATGTTATGGAAGTCGCTAGGGGACTAATCTTGAGGCCGAATCTAGCCACTTCATTGGAACTCCAACAACTCATGCGTGTCATGGAGACAATGGCCCAAACTATGGCCACTCAAAATGCCCAAATCAATGAGAGGTTTGATCGATGGTTAGGCCAACAGAATGGCCAAAATGGAAACCAATGGGCACCTAATGGAACACCAGTGGTGGGGCCTCAAGTTGAGGTCCAGCTAAATATTTTTGGAGTGAATCCGCCCCAACTTAATCCACCAGTTGGGTTCAACCAAGCCCCAGTGGTTAATATTCCGCCGATGGGCAACAACCCATATGCGACGGTCAACCAATTTCAAGTGTTCCCGCCATATAATCAATTCCGCCAACACGCTCACCAAGGGGCCGGGGCCAATTTCGCTGGGCCTCATATCAACCAATTCGAAGTCGGTGGTTGGAATAATCCTGGCGGGAATGCTAACAATCCGTTTCTAGGGAATCAAGTAATCGACCGAGGTGCGGTCGAACAAATGATTCAAAATATGGTATGTGGCCAATGTCATGGCCTAATTAGCATCCGGAGTGGAAATCTCCGAGTGGCTCTCTGAGGAGCTTTTTAAAGTAGAGAAGTGATCTCTCCCCTCCGTCTTTGAAATAGGGACTCCAGCGGAAGTTATGGTGTTAACCATAACACCGGAGGATTGGAGGCACGACACTGTGCAGTATTTGAAAAATCCAAATGGGTCATATAGCCAACAAATTCGGCGGAGATATTATGTGATAAGGGATGAAGTATTGTTCCGCATAAGTTCCGATGACTTGCTCATGAAATGTTTGGGCAAAAAGGAACAACTCGTAGCAATGACCGAGGTCCACGAGGGGATATGCGGTGCTCATCAAGCTGGCATCAAGATGAGGTGGCTTTTAAGAAGGCACGGTTATTATTGGCCGACTATCCTCAAAGATTGCATTGAATATGCCAAGGGTTGCAAAGACTGTCAAAGGCATGGGCCGATCCAACATGTCCCGGCCGGACCAATGAATCCCATTGTCAAGGCTTGGCCTTTCAAAGGTTGGGCAATGGATGTGATTGGCCAAATATACCCAAAGTCATCTAAGGGCCATAAGTATATATTAGTGGCCACCGATTTTTTCACAAAGTGGGTGGAGGCCGTCCCACTCAAGCAAGTTACTCAAGTCGAGGTGATAGAATTCATTGAGAAGAATATCATCCATCGATTTGGCTTGCCCGAGTCCATCATGACTGACCGAGGAACGGCGTTCATGGGCGAGGCTGTTCAAGCCGCCGCAAGAAATTGGGGAATTAGGATGGTTCAATCCACCCCATACAATCCCCAATCAAATGGCCAAGCGGAGGCTAGTAATAAATTGATAAAAGGGATTTTGGAAAAAATGATTGATAAAAATCCCAAGGAATGGCACTCTTTTCTTTCCAACTCTCTATGGGCGTATAGAACCTCGAAAAGGTCTGCCACGCAAACAACGCCATTCGCCCTCACCTATGGCCATGACGCCGTCTTGCCACTTGAGATTTCGGTTAAGTCCTTAAGGGTGGTTCGCCATGCCGAATGGAGTGAGGACGAATACGGGCAAGCCATGGCACAAGAGTTAGATGACCTTGACGAGGTCAGATTGGGCGCTTTAGATAGATTGAAGGCCCAAAAAGAGGCCGTGGCTCGAGCATACGATAAGAAGACTAAGGCCAAGAGTTTTGGGGTCGGAGATTTAGTATGGAAGACCATTCTTCCGGTGGGATCAAAGGATCCAAAATTTGGCAAGTGGTCTCCAACTTGGGAAGGCCCATTTCTCGTCCACCAAGTGTTAGGAAAGGGGGCGTACAAGTTAAGTGACCAAAATGGTCGGGTCCATGATGCGCCGATCAATGGTCAATTTTTGAAAAAATATTACCCAACGGTTTGGGAAATGGCGGAGAGATAATCTGCCATGAGGAAAAGATATCACATATATATATAGGTGGGCAAAAGTCTACAACAAAATGGGGCCAAGTAATGGCCTAGATATCCACCAAAGGTTCAAGAAATAATAACTAAGCTAGTTCTACCACATATGGTGACCAAAGAAAAGGAAACTAGCTAAGTACAAAATGGGCCAACCAATGGCCAAGTATGAACCTAAGCATCGGGGAAAAGGGTCCGGAGGGCAGCCCTAAAGCTCTCCATCGCGGTATCTCCGGCGGACAAGGTAGACTGAATCATCAACTTCCTCTCTCGATATGCTCCCGCCGCTGCTGCATCCTGTCGAAGTTGAGCCTCGAGAGGCCTATTGCTCCGGACAATCTCGGAGACTTTGGCAACAATGCCAGCCTTCCTTTCTTGGAGCTGCCTCACCTGCTCATCGATATTCGCAGCCTCCTGCTGCATTTGGCGGGCGATCTCGATCTCCCTCCTCATGGTGGCACTACATGAGGTAATCCGCTGCTCCAAGTCTTGGCCTATCCTTTGCTCCTCCAGAAAAGGACGGCGGCGGGGGGCAAATCTCTCCACCTGACCAAAGAGATGAGTAATCATAGCCGCCGAGCGTGGATCAGGGAAAAAGCCAGAACTCGCCAAAGTCTCAATGGCGGCCTTGAGCTTGCTTCTCTCATCTTTGTCCTCCAAGGACATGAAGTCTCCATCTCTGTATGACCGAAGTATGGCCTCAGCCCCGGAATCTGGTAGGGCCCCGGTCGATGTAGAAGAAGTGGCAAGGCGAGTGGAAGCCTCCGCGGAGGATATAGATGCATCCCACTGATCTAGGAAGTCAAAAATGTCACCAGATGGCTGCAAGAAAAATGGGCATTATATTTCAAGAAAAGGAAATAAATTGCATATGTGCATATGTATGTATTTCTTGTTTCATACCTGATCAGGGGATGGTAGAGGGGCCTCTTCATGGGGGACCGTGGCCAAGTTTCCTCCATCCTCCGCCGATGGATCCATGGTAATCTCGGCGGGCACAAAGGATGAAGACTCACCAATCTAGCAAAACGATATAAGGATTACAATAATGGCCCATTTATTTGAAATAAACAAGAAAATTTGGGGCATACCTCAAGTTGGAGTTCAGACGGAATAGCATCGACAACCAAGGTAGGAGCTCCCAAGGTCGACATAAGGACGGGCTCAGGTGGTGCACTTTTGTCGGTGGGAATAGTGGGAGGCACACCATTGGCGACGATCGCATGGCCGACCGTAATGGCGGTAGACTCCACCACATCCGCCTAAAAAAGGAGGGTGTGAGCTCTCTAACAAACATAAAGCTTTGAAAAAAACATTTAAGGGAGAGTAAGATCACCTGAAAAGTTGGGCCACTTAGGGGCGCCTCGAGAAGGCGGGTCAAGGTAAAGCCCGAACTTATGGCAGAGAGGGGCTGAAATTCGGCCTCAGTGGCCATGGCATCGGCCGAAGAAAGGTTGGGGCCAAAAATGGCCTGCTAACATGTGCAAACATTGAAAATAAGAAATTGGGGGCAAGTGTATAAGAAATTTTAAAAGTACGAAATTTCAATGAACCTGAGAATTCGGAACATGTGGGAAGTCTTCCTCGGTCAGCTCGGCCACGTCCTCATGGGCATCATCATCGGGCATAGGAGTAATCTCGTGTGACCCCATGGAAACATCCTCCGGGTGCTCCGTGGTAGTGATCTCGGCCGACTAAGTTCGAAAATTTAGTAAGCACAAAAGAAGTAAAAGAAAACTCAAACGGCTAAGGAGATGGATTTACCTCATCCTCGCCCACCGAAGTCATGACTTGCGCCCCAACTCCCTCCTCAAGTGTAGGAGGTTGTGTTTCCTACATTTTTGGGCATAAGGGTGAGTTTTTTGCCCTTCAAAATTATATGAATGAAAGAATGTAGAGATATAGGCTTACCGGAGCGGCGGATGAAGTGGTGGCCGATTGCACGGCCCCGACCGAATGAGAAGAGGGAGGAGGATCCGCCGGCCTTGGGGAACCTGCAACTATTTATCTTATCTATTTTAAAAAAATTACAAAAAAAAAAAAAAAAAAGCACAAACAAACTAAAGGTTCCGCCGAACTTTTCTGGGCCGAAGGAATGTTTGAGAAGGCAAAATATTTCCGGCGGGGCTATCTCCTAAAAAGTTGGAGTTTTAAGCTTTTAAATGTGCCCATCAAGAATTAAGAATTCAGAAGGCTATAGGTGCAAATATTTAAAAGGGCAATCATGGAGGATGGCTTACCTTGGATGGGGGGTGTTGGGCCTTTTCTCGCCCCGCCCAGAATTTGCATTGGCGGATTTGGCCAAGCTCTCTCTCTCAATAACCTTGGCGGGAGGGTTTTCCTTCTCGGCGGTGTCAACTATGAGATTTGAAGGGTTAGGAAAAAGAAAGATAGCCAAAGAATTAAAATAGGAAGAAAGTGCAAATATTTTACCTTTTGCTTGGGCCTTCTTCTTCTCTTTCTCTTGTTGAAAGGCCAATGAGCATGGGCAATGCTTAAGGATCCTATCCTCAATCTCTGAGCATGGTTGAGAAAACCAACCGGCCGACATTTCTTTCCACCAATGGATAAAGATGTTAGAGTCACCAAACCGAGGATCTCTAATCGGAATACTGAAGGATTTCACCAAGTCTTGGTTGAAATCCGTCAAGGTGGTGACTTCTTTCGCATCTTTAAATTCCACCCGCCAAGAGGAGAGCAGGTTGACGGAATCCATGGGTGGTATAGGAATGCTCTGTATAAAACCAAGCTGGTAGCCGGCGGCGGCGGGATAATAAAGCTCACCACCACAATGATAATTGCTTCCTTTGTTCACCATTAGGCCATATGGAAGATCTCGGCTGATAAGAATGCTCGCCCACATATTATGTCTCTCATCTTTCGTCTCCGCCGTGGGATATGAGGAAAGATCCAGGGCTAGATAATCCGGGAAACGGTGATCAAGGCAAATGGAGAGATGCTCCCTAGTCCTCTCCTGGCACTCATAGAAAAAGCGGAAGCAATCCTCCACAAAATGCTTCCGCCGTGGGGCGTTGAGCAAAGGCGGACCCAAAAGTGCTTCATCGTTTGGGCAAACGGTGGTGGGACTTAACTCCGGAAAATATAACTGGAGCCATAATTGAAAAATCCATATGGGGCCAGAAGCATGATAATCCATGGGTTTAGTGGTTACCTCACGGAGCCCTCTATAAAGATAGGCAAGAAAGATTGGGCCCATGGCCACTTGATGGCCATCCGCAAGCACCTCCGCCAAGGCTTGAAATTCCTTTGTGATCCCGCCGGATTTTGGGCATGCCAAGAACTTGCACAACCACATCACAAGGAAAGCCACGTGCTCAGTGTAGGATACGCCATTGATGGAAGGAGGGTCGGTGGGATCTCCGCCATGGCCAAGATATGTCTTCACCCAGCTCCCGGAATTCTTGTTTGACTTGTGAAAATCTAAGCCCACTTTGCCATCCGGAAGGTTGGCGGCCGAGAAATCCTTTCCATGAGGGCGGAGGCCGGCAATAGCGGCCAAGTCTAGCAAGTTGGGTGTCATCATCCCAAAGCGGAGCCTCATGCAATTGGTGGAGGAAGACCAAAAGCATAGGGCCGCAATGATGAGAGATCGGTCGCAAGGAAATGGGCTCCCCGCACATAGGAGCAATGTATCATAAATCCCAATTTTCTTCCAATGGCCCTTCAATTTTGGTTCCAATGCCTTGAACCAATGATACCAATCAAACTTGCCATCCGCCGAGCTTGAGTGATCGGCCTTCCCGGCGGCGGATGATGCTTTCTTTGATGGGGCCTCCTTTGTTGCCGTGGGATCCGATTTGAGGGGGGTTCCCGTCGGCCAACCTTTAAATGGCTTGGCGCTCTCCCAAACGGATGCCCATGTGAAGTCTGAAAAATAGGTTGGGCCACTTCTTGGTTGCGTCACCCACACTTTGGCCACCTCCTCCGGATAGGCGGAGAAAAATGGGCCAAGAATATATTGGGCGGAGTTGGGAAAGGCATTGAGAAAATAGGCAAATACTTGCTTGCCCAAGTCTTTTTCCATGGCCACCTTCATATCTTCAAAAAATTGGCCACTATCACTTGGAATAGATTCCATCCTACAAACATGGTGTAAAATCGAATCAAAGAAAAATATAGTAAAGCAAACAAGATTCGAATGAAGAACACGAAGAACATCATAGCACTATTCACATATTCAAAGTTTCAAGTCTAAACTTTTGAAGGCTATAGATGCATCAAAATCATACCAAAATCAACCAAGAATTAGTAAACGTACCTAGAAACTTGCAAATTTCAAGTTTGACGTTGATTCGGGTGGATTTGGTGTGTGAAATGATGAATGTGAAGATGAAGAGGATATGGGTTTTGAGAAAACCTTCTAAAAGCCTATAGCTATGGTGGAAGTGCTTATGTGAGAATGAAAGGGACCTCTTGAATATTTGTAATATCTAGGGTTTTTAACGGATAGGAAGTTCGAAGGTCCCGCCAATTTAATTGGTGTCTTCCTAAATTCCTACCCGATTCAAAATTTAATAACGTGCAAGGCAAGCAAAAAAGAAAAATCTCAAATTTCAGAAATTGAAAGGTCTTGGGTTTCGATTTGCTTACCTCTGCACCAATTCCGAGCTAAGCAAGTCGAGGGGGCAATGTTTGGGGGTGATAGAAACCCACCTAACCCGGGCACGAGAATTAACCGGACAAGAGAAGAAGAGCGGCGGGGCTTCTCAACTACGGAGTAGGGCGGAATGAAGCTGGGCAACCATTGGAGAAAGGGGCTTGCGAGAGCACGGCCGGATGCTTGCGTGGTTGAGAGAGTGGCCGGGTTCTGCTTGGAGTGTTGGCGGCCGAGATTTGTTCGAGTGAGGCCCGAATGTAACTAGGCACAATTTGGTGCGACCAGGCGTGATGAATAGGCAGCTGGGCTTACGAAACGGTTGGGCACGATCGGGAAAAGTTGGGCCTACGAGACGTGGGCGGATAGTTTAGACAGAGATTGAGTACGGCCGGATCCTTTCTTCCAAGGCTACGGCCAAATGAAATTGTTGGCCGGGTTTTGAAGGGCTGGAGCTGAAGGTGCGGCCGGGCACATCTGGAAGGCCTTGAAAGCAGCTGGGCAGATCTGGAAAGGTTTAAATGCGGCCGGGCTCGGAATGGATTTATGCGGCCGGATTTTTGTTGCCCAAGGAGATGAGGCAGAAACTTGGGAGTTTCGTGGAAGCTGGAAGGCAAGTTCGGGCTGATGAATATGGGGCTGGGTTCTGCTAAAATTGCGGCCGAGATGTTTGGTTTTGAGCAAACAGAGTCTTGGAGTATGCGGATGTTGGTCTCCAATATTTGGGCTGAAAAGCTTTTGGTTTATTATATATATATATATATATATAATAGGGGGAGTAGATATCACACATGCGGCTGAAATTGAGAGTCCTGGGCAAAATGTTTTAAATGGGCAAGCTGTCTTGGGGCTGTTTTAAATGGGCAAGCTGTCTTGGGGCTGTTTTAAATGGGCTACTTTAGAAACTACATGCAAGTATATATATATAGATAGTTGAGTGAATGGCATGCACGCAGACGGATGCCCAAGTTTAAGTCATCCATTCACGCTCAGATTTTCGGAAGATTATGTGCACGTGATGGAGGCCTCACGAGGAAAGAAATCAAAGGATTCTTTTTATAGTAACTCCGAGTGTTCCAAAACAAGGAAGAATCAAGCATGTCAGAATATCAATGCAATCTCACGGATTTAGGAGGGCTTCGAAAGGAAAGATTTTAAAGAAGAGTTGACATTTGGTCATTCAATGGCCAGCCCATGGGCTGACGAGTGCCCTATATAAACTTTGCTCAACGAAGGCATCAGGGAGACAACATCAGACAAACAAACCTATCTTTCGTCTCGCACTTTTCTTTTCCTAGACTTAGGATTTTATTTTTCAAGCACCTAGTGTAGTGAGTTCTTCATATTCCTAGTGTAAGTTTATATTTTCCTTGTCATTTAAATTCTCGTTCAATTTATATTTCTTGCCGTTTCAATTCAAGTTTATTTTGTTTCCTTTACATTTAATTGTTATCGCACTTCGATTAAATTTAACTTCAAGTTTATTTCCTTTTCGTTCTTATCGTTCTTATCGTTCTTATTGCTTTTATTTTATTCTTGCTTTATCTATCGCTTTGATTTATTTTATCGCATTTCAATTCTTGCCTTTACATTCTTTATTTTACGCACTTTACTTTCCGCACTTGTCTTTCAATTATATTTAAATTCAAGCACCCTTTACTTTATGCACGTGTTATTCGTTTCATTACATTTCACCTTCAATCTTCATCTCCACCCACTCCACATCATTTGGTTGCTCACATAAAGCCTTGACTCTGAGGTAGTGAAAGAGCCTAGGCCGTGAGGAGGTTCCTTGCTCGGCCGAACAATCGTTTGATTAAAGTCAGATCTCGGACGCAACACATCCATCTACTCACATTCCATTCAAGCCCAAATTCGGGGCTTGGTGGTGGCACGCCCCGCACTCAAAAAAGAAGAAGGACCAAAAGTTCCTTCCGTCGGCCGCCCCGGCCGAAAAGAGGGTAACAAATGGGCTACGCTAACATTCAATTTCCCTTACCGGCCCCATTTGCTTTACGTTTTAGCCAATGGTATATGCTAAAGCCTACAGACAATGTGTTATTTTGTGAAATTGTTTGTGAAGCTTTAAATTACGGAAAGGGAAATTCGATATTGGGTGCGGAATAAGGAGCCCGCTCTGTTTGTAAATTTCCTTTCTCTTTACCCCTACTTGTTTCATCTCTATAATTACAAAACATAATGCAATTTCCATTTATTAAAAATCCCTGACCTTATACCGTGGGATTACTATTACCATTATATGAAAACTTATCACACATTACGTAGGCTTCCACGTTATATCACTAATCATACTTATGTTTGCACTTCACGAGTACACTTAAAAAATAACTTAAGTAAACAAAAACACTTAAAATCCTACTTCATAAGTAGTTAATTAAAACCATTATTACATATCAGCAAGAAAGAACACATGATAGACTCAAAAACCCTTTACATATAAAAAAGCTATCAGTACAAAATGAGTACGTATATATATATTATTCCAAACTCACATATCCTTCTTATTCATAATATGAGAAAGAAAAAGGTACTTTTCTTCAACTTCTTGCTTAATTAACCCATTTATTAAGCTTTGTATTACGTAGATCAACCAAAAATAACTTCAAATCCAATTACATCCCTCCTTTCTTTCTTCATAATTTTCTTCCAAGAACATCTGTATTTATCTGTGTGTATAATATTTTTATGTTCCAAAAGATTATGTTATATTAATATTATAGAATCACCAGCTTATTTAGTTCACTTGAGATATCATCTCCACCAAATCCAGCTCCTTCTTTACTTCACTACTCTCCATCACTGGACCCACATCCACATCCACCTGCATCTCCATCTCAAAATCTTTCTCCTCATCAGCAACAACAGAATCTTGGGCCATTATTTTACCATCAAAATCACCATTGTTCTCACCAAGAACAGGAGCACAAGGGATGCCATCAAGGAGAGAATCAATGCTGCACCCTTCTTGAAACATGTTATCGTCGAAACAAAAATCGTGGTCCTCGTTGAAATCATGGTTTGGAACCAACCGATCATTTGCGCATGAAAATCCCACATTGTTTTGTGTCTGTTGAGTATGTGATTTGGTGCTGCTGGAGGCCATGTTGTTTGGTGATGTGGCATTGTTGTTGCCTGACTTGTTCTTTCTCTGGCGCCCTGTGCTGCTGCCTGTTGAGTCTAAGTTCAAGCTCTTGATGTATTCTTGCAGAAGAGAGCCTCTGGGGTACTTTGATCGACATTTTCGCTTCGAATATTGCCTTCTTTTGGTTGCATTCCAGTGGTTCTTGATGGAGTTTTCTGTCCTCCCAGGCAATCTCTTGGCAATTTCTGCCCACTTGTTTCCTATTTCTGCATGAGCTTGAATCAGTATCTTGTCCTCCTCGTCACTCCACGTATCCTTCTGCAAAAAATTAACTTATGAAGAAAGGAAATACAATAAAACCATTTGCCCCGCATTGTTATTATATTACATTGTGCACCACATCACTCATAAACACGACACGAGACCCAACTATACTAGTGAGTTACAAACGGATGCAAGAATGTGATTCATGTAGCATTAGTCATCAATATATTCGAAACCCAAAATCAATTTTCATGTTATTATTTAGTTTTTATGATGATCAATCTTAATCGGTTAGTTTCAAAGGGATTAAGATAAGAGTTTTTACTTTGTAGAGTACATAGAAGACTTTAATCGAATACCTTGATGTCAGGCCTTAGGTGGTTATGCCATCTCTCTCTACACTGCTTGCCAATCCTTCCAGGCAACATTTGAGCAATATGAGACCATTTTCTCACTCCATATTGTTCAACCAGTTGAATTAAGAGCCTGTTTTGACAACCATATACAAGAGTAAATTAATATCAGAGATCTAAAATTAGCCAAAATGCAGCCATATTGATTTACTGCAACTAAAATTTTGATCTTTGTACCTATCTTCTTCAATTGTCCACTGACCCTTGACCACATTTGACTTCTTCCGACCTTTGTAAGTGGACCCTCTTGTTAATGTGGACACTCTGCTCTTACCATTCATGCCAAATTTTTTGTAATACCCATTTTGATCTGTATTGTTAATGCATGAGACTTCATCTGGCACCACAAAATTCATGGGTTTAATATCTTGGTAATCCAAGGGCAGGAAATTAGTTGCACTCCTATGAGATGAGCCCATCAAATGATCAAGTGGATTTGATGTGTGAGTTGGGAAATTCAAGTACCCTGAACCACTTTGAAAGTTGTCCAAGACTTGACCATGTCCCATATTTGTTTCTGCATTAAGAGGCTTACACTCATAAAATTTAACATCTGTAGTTGAAGCTTCATATGTGTAAGTTGTGTCATTGTAAGGATCAAAACATGGGTTTTGGACCCCAAACATGGCATTTGATGAAGACCCATTAACCTGAAACTGGTGATCAAGATGGTGAAAATCTTGAAGGTAATTGTAATTACCCTTTGATGATGATGAAGAAGCTTCAAAGGGAAACTCATCTTTCATGTTGTAGAGTTTCATCATGTAGTTGTCAGGGACAAGTAGTGGAACTTGGGAGGCAAGGTTTTCCCTGAGCTTGTTAAGCTCCATTACAGATTTTTCAGCAGTAGAAATTTAGTACCAGGGAAATGGGCAGCTACTGTTTTGGGAGCTGTCCTCCAGTGTACTCTTCTTTGCTTAATAGGTGAGGGAGGAAAAGCATTTATTGTACAGAGAGATCATGACCGTTGATTCTCCATCATCTAATGGTCATGGTGCTTAGCCTAGCTTTTTTTTTTACCCTAAGGCTTTTATTTGTAGGTCTCGAATTTTTGTTGGATATTATTCCAACTGCATTAAAACCATTGAATGAAGTTCTTAAGTATTGTAATGGCGTTATGTTATGCTAATTACTTTGTTTTTCCATGTTTTGGTATATGGTCAAAGAAAGTCAAGTCATGGACAAACTTTAGAATAAATAGTTTTTACTCTTATTAATGAAGTTAATTTAGGAAAGTCGTTAAGAAGAATATTTACTGGTAAAACTTGGTCGTAAGTAATGAAACACAATAAAAGCATGTCAAAGTTATTAGACTTAATCGCCACTGTTAATAGCAAAATGTTTACATAACGCCAAGCATTTTATTGCCTTCTTGTAGCAACTGTTATAGATTAAATTTTGAGAAAAGAAACTTAGGAAATATCACCCTTAATCAAAGGTATAAAAGAGACATGAATGAGTTTAGTTTGCATCAAGTTTACAACCCACAATTCAATCTCAATTGATTTCAATGCAAAAGAGATGAAATATTCAGTCAAAGCTTTCAAGTTTCCTACATAGAAAGCTGTATATAGTGCAGTCGCCAACAGAAACAATGTGTTTCTAGGGTAAATATTAATGTAGCATTTGACTCTGAAAATTTGGAAAACTTCAAGCAGACAACGAAATTATATTATGCACATCGTTGCTGGAAAGCTTTCTCAGGGTTCTTCTCATCAATGTCTGAGTGGTGAGGGAAATCATGAGGCATTTCTTCAGCAGAAAACCATGCTTCCCCGAAAACTCTTACAACTTCTTGGTGGACTACAGCATTGCCTTCTGGTGTTAGGTGCAACCCGTCACTGCAATGGAAAGCAAATAAATTAAGACAGATTATTCAATCTCACACTGTCAAAAGCTTAGAGGATGAAAATAATATTTCTAGGACTATATTACAGTACATATGATCTTCGTGTAATTTAGATCCCAATTCTAGCAATCACACAATTGATTAGATGTTCATATGCCTTCACACCTCAGAGTCCTACTCCTACCCATCTGCTTTTCCTCTTCTTCTATATTTTTTTTTCCAAAGAAGAAAACCAGGGAAAGAAAATGATCTTGATCTGACTTTTAAGGCAGTATCTAAGGTACTAATTAGACAAAAAGTGCTTCTTTGCAAGAGAAAATCTGGTTGCAGCCAATAAATGTTCAGTTATTCAATAAACTATACAGGTTGAAGCTTCAAAGATGGCAAACCTCAGAAATTTCTTCTGCCAACCCTCCGTTTCCTGCAACTTGGACCAAAGATTGATGGAGTGGAGACCTATTTCCTCAGCTAGCTCAATGCACTTCTTTGCATAAACTCCTGTCACTTCATTCATCCTCTCCGGCTCTTCCCTAGCATCCTCACCATATAAAGATCTGTGGAGATAATGGAGGGGACAACAAAGTGCAATTGACACCATGAAAGAAGGTAAAGGTGCCAAACACATAAACATGATGAAAAACAACAACAAAACAGTTATGTATATGTAGTCAATTTTGAAATGAGAATAAGAATAAATCGTACCGGGCATATTCATTACGCCCATCCTCATCAACAGGTGGTGGAGTAATAAGCACAATCAAAATGGTAGGAGAACACTCCTGCAATCAAAATCACCACATGCAATGAGATGGGTCAAATAATTGACTGCGAAAATAGTTGCACTTAGAAAAACATGTGCAGAATGTATAAGCACATCTGGAAATTACAGACTCTAAGCTCATGGGAAGTAATAAGTGCCCATATACAATGAGCAAGCAAGTTCAAGTGTGATGAGAATGCTATACCATATAAATATTAGCCATTTATAAAACAAGGCACAAGGAATTGGGTAGCCTTAAACATGGTCTAAAAACTCAACAGTATACATGAGATTATGATAATGATGGAGAATTTAGGAAGAGATGGTCGCCCTTATGGTTTCTCAGAGAACAGAACTTAGAGGCAAAGACATAAATGAGCGAAAGGAACGTGTTGAACCTTCATATGAAGAACAATTTTTTTGAGATTCTCCTTGTACTCTTCAACAGGAACATGTTGTCGTTCACTTGTTCTCCCCAAAATAGCAGCATCATTGGCCCCAAAGAAAATTGTGGCAGCAGCAGGAGGCTTTTTAGAATCCTGTCAATTTCATAAACGTTTCTGTTTCCATCAAATTCTACTATTTTCCCATATGCTTCCAAGACTCACATTTTTTTTCTTCGCAGGCTTTTACTGATTAAATATCTAATCTACCATCTCAACATGATAACTTGATTTATCAGATACTGATTGTGGAAGTTACTCCAAAAAGCATGACAATTTTCTGCTCTAGTATGCAATAATGACACAAAGTATCTCTCTTTCCCTTTATCTTAGCACCATTTACCACCAGTTGATCAGTAAAACACTAAATCCTGAAAAAATATATATTCTAAGTAGATAAACAACCATAAAAGAAATTTTTAAAAAACAAAGACTTCGACTTTGTAATATCAAATGCTTAATGAGACATGTAACCAATAGGAAACGAGGAGGTAAAACAAAAACCCAATTGAATTAACTAAATAAAAAGGATAAAAGCCAATCAATGGATTGCCAATGCCAAACCATACCAACAAAGCTTTTACAAAAATGAAGAAGATGCAGCATAATTGGTAGAGAATGAAGAAAAGAATATACCAGAGGGAAGAGGTGCTGCATCAAGAACAATGCCCATCGGGTGTTGTACCCACCATACCCACGAACTTTTACATCAGCCTATCAACACCACCATCCCAAAAGTTACCAACATTTACTATATTAACATTAACAGTAGAGAGAGAGAGAGAGAGAGAGAGAGAGAGAGAGAGACCTTGCGAGAGTAAGTATCAGCTAGAGCGGCACCCCAGCCACCTGATCTGAAGGATTGCTCTGTAATTGAGTCTCCGAACAGCACAATCTCAGGCCTCATGAGCAATGCTTCTTTCTCACTTCTTCTCTGCTCCTACGCTTTTACCGTTGTGCCTTATACTCGTTCGTGTTCAGTTGACAGGAGAGAGTGAGAGACTGTCGTCTCTTTTAAACGACAAATCGTTTCCGAACACGGTAGAGAAAAACGATGTTTTATGGGTTAAAACCGTAAAATGCAATTGTCGCCAATATGCATTTGCACCAAAATGAAGGCAATGTGCATTTCAAGGGATTATTGCTCAAGGCAGGCAAGCTGACCTTTCTTTCCATGTCTTGTAGATATTTTGCATCTAAAAACAAAGGATATGCTAGAATTGATGAAATGAACATTGGAATTCAATGTAAATGTGAGAATGTTTGAATTAGTATTTGGGAATTATTGCTGTTTTGGAGTTATTGTTTGACTAGGTACAAACTGGAATATTGACTTAAGACTTAAGACTTAAGACTTGAGTTGAAAATTCGTAATATGCATTTGCACCAAAACGAAGGCAATGTGCATTTGTTTGGACTAAAAATGTAAAAAAGCCCATTTAGGGAATGAGTTTTTATTATTATTATTATTTAGAGGTATTGCTCATTAACTAAACCCAAATTTTGAAAATATTTATGGGACTCTATTTATTTATTGACTTAGACTTGGTTTTCCGGACTTGTTTGTGTCAAACTATTTTAAGTCATGTGTGACTTTGAGTGGAGGTATACTGTATGAGTTTGATGTTGTTGATAGATCCGTCTGTTTTGGTTGTGGCCCCTTTGTGGGTAGTAATTGTTACTCCTTTTTGTGTTGTTGTATTAGCCTTTATAACTATTGTATTTGTATTGCCCCGTTGTATTAGCCTTCATAACTATTGTATTTGTATTGCCCCGTTGGTGTAAGTTATGAAGACAATGTGGTTTGGCAATAAATAAAAAACATTTGGTTTTGTGATAAAAGATTATTAACATTCAGTTATGACATCAACATACACAATCAAGTCCTTCCACAAAGTTACTAGCTTTAGCAGCTGAAAAGTGAGCCTTCAACAAAAGCTTCATGGGAAATTTTAGTTTGGTAGAGTGCTTCTGGGTCCCTTAATAAGTGGGTTCACAATCTCTATCAGTACCCATAAAATTAAGTGGAAGGCAAAACAAAAAGACCACTTGGGTCTAAAACACAGGCTGGCGCCAAAAGTAGATTATATCATGTAGTGGAGACTAAGCATGCATTAAATCCACCAGTTCATGCATCAAAGGATTATTATGCAATCTGTTTCCTATCCATATCAATAAGTCTTTGAGTGGCAGACACGAGTTGCAAAATCATAGTGGCATGCATTATAAGCACAAAAGAGGATTCTGAGCATATTCAAAGTACAAAGTACAAACTGATCAGCCAGCATTAAAAAGTATAGTCTTATAAAGAACAATCTGCAGATCATTGCAGGTGCAAGCATGAATATAATTTTATTCTCGAAAAACACAAAAAGGATAACTTATTCCCACACCTTAAGCATCTCGTATATCAAATCATCATCACATTCCAGAACATCAGAACACTACTTTCCAGAAGTCCATGAGTATTCCTCATTCTCATTTTTGAAAATTTCGGTCAACTGAAATTCAGACAGTTGGAGAACACATAGTTGCTAAAAACTTTGGGAAACACTGAAGGAAGAGATTGGCTATGGGATTTTCTTAGGTTGCATAATTAACGTTTGGTTAAAATACGAAAAATCATACATATTTCCATTATCGTAATCATTTCTCTGTCCACCATATGTTAGAAACAAGGTTTAGAAACAGACCTACAAAGATGATACTTAGTACATAACCTCTCGAGCACCATTGCCAATAATAATCTCACCAGAATCACACTTATAGGAATTTTAGCTTGAAGAGCCAGGAGTGGTCTGTCCAAGGATAGATGACCCAGGGCTGGGAGTCTGCGTTCTTTCAAGTCCTTGTCGGGGGCTTCTTTCTCCTCTCAGTTCACTTAAATGGGGGCTGTATACTCTCTGTGACGTCCGCGGGCTATAAGCAGGTTTTATACCTTCCAGTGAAGTAGGGGTCAAACTTGATGCTTTTGGGCTCTGTGTATGGCGGATCTCACCACGGCTTCTTGTGATAATTTCATCAAGAATCTCCCCACCATCAATGTTTGTGATTCTTGACTGAAGATCCTGATCCTGTCATGCATAGAAAGCATCAGTACAGAACTTTTAAATGATAACCTAATAAAGGCTTTCAGTGAGCACTCTAATTTCTTAGAAAATGCAGCTTAGGATAGCATCTGAATACCATATGTTCTATTAATATCAAACCGAAATTGGATTTATACCCATCTGATCCAAACTTTGCACATATGCATGCATCGTTAGTGCACACACACCTATAAATGCTTTTTTTGAATCAGCATACAGGTAGATCAATCAAAAGTTTGTAAACATTTTCTACATTCAAATTTTATCAAGGGTGCAAGTACGGCTCTGGTGGGCAGCAGGTCCAGCTCTGGCTTATTATCATGATAATGAATTCAGGATGTCATAATGTTATCAAATATGACCCCTGAACAACTCAATGGGAAAGAGAGAAAGAAAGAGAGAGACAGAGAAATTAACAAGTCTAACTGAACTGAAGAAAGGATCGAGACAACTTACTTCAAAGGACATGTTGAAAGCAATGGTAGGGGCTTCCTCATATTCTGCAGCATCCAGGTCTTGAAGGTGAGCTCTTTTGAAAAACTTAGGGAGCAAATACTGCCGCACTGGGACCAGAAGCATGATCAACAACGGGAAAAGCACCCCAGCAATTGGGATCCATGTTAAGCCAAAACACATGAGCAAGTAAGCCGTCTGGAACAAGGTGAAGGTGGCAATTGTTTTGAAAGGCACAGTCTCAAGAAAGGTTCCATGATACTTCTCCAGCACCCTAGCAAGTTAGATGGTGGTTACCATTTAACAGATTTTCAAAGATAATACTAGTCATGATTTAGAATAAGAAAATGGTAATGTGTATTACAACTCCATATTTGACGCTTGAAAGTATAGGAAATGGATCATGCGTGTCTAGGTATAACAGTTGACTTACAATATGAAGAAGAGTATTTGGTCATAGAATCATTTGCAAATTACAAGGGAAAGCATCAACTTACTTGTATCTTCGACTTGGAGCAGTGAAAAGAAACAATATCCTCTCCCAAAATTGATTTCCAGGCAAGCTTTCAATTGCCATGAAAGCAAAATATCCCCAAAGAACAGAGGTTGGGATTTTCTTCAAAAAAGGCATAGCAGCTACACAACCACCGACCATCAATGCTTGAAGCAGATTGCTGAGGCGTTGCTCTTTCACTTCAACAGGCAAAAGATCATCAATATCCTTATCCACATCAAAAACAGTCTCATCAACGGGGGCATCAATGTAGCCAGCACTTGAGGCCAATTGGACTGTGGATTCTTTCAGCTCTTTTAGTCCCTGTTTGAAGCACAAATTTTAGCAAGAGTAAAAGATGTAAACTTCTGAATTGTTCAGTAATAATGTCTAAATAGATTTACCAAAGCAGGTGGACGTTGGTAGACCAGTGGAGTCTGCATTTGATTGTAGGCTTCTTGCATGCTCTGGTATAATTGACTCAAACTTGAATTTTTGCGTATACTATTTCGTGCTGTTAATGCAAGCTTATTCCGCAAAAGCTATTCCAAAGAAAAGAACAGATCCATTCTATTAATTTAGATATCAAAGTCACAATAAATTGAAGTATTGACCATTGCAGAAACACACTAAAAGAAACAGAAGAAATGACTGAGAGATGTCCTGTCAGCGAGAATAAACAATAGCAGGAACACGGTCTGGATGAATAATTAAACCACGTCAAAACAAGTACCAAGGTCATGATATCCTGATTGCTCTGTCTATAATTACACAGTGAAGTACAAAAACAAGGCCTTCAGATTGTTCAATGATTATATCACTTGAATTATAAGTTTCAATGGAATCAGCCTCTATTGGACTTAGTTGGATGTGTATCCTCTAATGGTGTAGAGTTTAGGAATTTTTCCTTTCTGTTATTTTTCTCTGATTGGGCAGCACCTGTATTCTAGAGTGTATTCATGCTAGTTTCTTGATGTTCGTTGGTGAATGTAAATTATTCTTTGGTGTTGAGCAGCAGATTTTGTTTGAGTGGACACCTTGCCCTCTGTTATGCACTTTTATTTATTTATTTAATGGAAGTGTGTTTATTAAATAAAATATGAAAAATATCCTGTCTGTATGCCAGGGATCCAGAACAAGAGAGAAGCAAGTATTTAGAGTCAGAGTCATAATATCCATATTTTGACGTCAAATGCACACCAAAGACAATTCATGCAAGCACATATACTTATCAGAATGTTTCACTACCAGCAAACTATACCTGATGTTTTAGAGTAGCTAAGCTTTTTGTATGCATTGGAGATTGTGGAATTACTCCATTGGAAGGGGGAATGCCAAGAAGCCCACATAATATGACCTGGAAGTGAATAAATTCAGAATTCAATGAAAAACTTTCACGATATATAGGTACATAAAATATCTACCTCAATTTGAGCTGGTCTGAAAGCAGCTTACCAGAAAACCCAGAAGGAGAAGGTCATAGTGATATGAAGCTGGTTTATTTAGATTAAATTCCTTCTGTTGGGCAAGTTGGGATGCAACACTATGATCAAAGTAGTAGAGCACAGCAATCATAGTTGCTGGTATAAATGCTCCAACTATATATAATGGAGGTACATTCATCATCTCCTGCACAACTTAAACAGCATGAGTTCCTAGCTACGATTTAAAGGCAAGAAAGCACAAATTTGGCTCTTTAAGACCAATTTAGACTCTAACGGACACAAAATATTTGGCAAACAATCACTACAATATCCACCTTGACAACTGTCCAATTTGAGTATGCACCAGGAGACCATGGGTTTGGACTGAAAAGTCGTCTTGGGATTCCTCTTGGGACATCATTAACTGGTATGTAAGATACAGCAGTCCAAACAACAACCATAAATGGGACTCCATAATCCGCAATAAATCCCCGTAGCCAACCTACAGATACGATTACATTTGACAGACAGAAAAGCTACTAAGATACATAGTTGACACGGTAGATGTGCAAAATTGATCTCTCTCAGAACACCAATTAAATTTTTCAAGCTGAGGAACAGATTTGCATTCTAACCAATAACCTGCAATGAATATGACTTGATATTTCAACTTTTTACTTGAGCTTGAAAGTAAATGCCACATACCTGCTCCATAACGCCAGGATCTAGCTTTACGGCTTCTCAATGCAGTTAAAAGAAGGCCAAATGACAGAACTAATGCAAACATTCCATTGCCGAACCGCCAAGCAGGTTGGAGTGCAATCTTAGTAGGATTTTCTCTCTTAGGTACGCTAAATTCCTCCACAAGTCCCTGTCAAATGGCATTCATAAGTTGAGTTCAGTATTAAAAGAATGGTTACAGAGCATAATGGTAGGTGTAGAGATCTTGGATATTTAGCTTATTTTTTGTTCCTGAATTCCCTTATGGAATTCATGTATAATTAAATCTCAAAAGGTTTCGAATTCTTGTATCCAACATCAAATTGATAAATTAATAATGGAGGATTATAAGCAAACTCACCTTTATGGCCTGCTGCATAAAAAGCATTGCAATTAGCAGACCAAATAATTCACCAGCAATACGCGTAAACCTATTGATAATGGAGCATGCACCCAGAACGGCAAGCAAGAAGAGCAGAAGGGCTGTCCACACACATACCCTAAATGCCCATTATGCAGGAAAAACAATGTTCAGTTTCATCAAAAAATCAAATACTTTGTGATATTAAGATGTGCAGAGTGTTCTAGAGATACCATCCAGTCCAGGCTAAAAAGAGTTCCTGCCCCAAATCCTTCCGGTCCTTAGCAAAGTCGAACATAAATGTATACATCAATACTGTTGGCTCAGCCACCCCTAGTATGAGCAAGGGCTGTCCTCCAAAAATCGAGTGGATAACACCACAAAGTGATGTTGATGCAAGAGTCTGTACTGCAGTCAAGGCTCCATCTGTAAATATAAATACATGTAACACTTGTTAGTATATTATACCAAAATAGAAACTTTATGAGGACCCTGACAATAAAAAGAGAGAAAAATAAAAAGGAATTGTTCGACTTGTATTTCGTTCCAGCTGCTCTCCAAAAGATATAACTGGAATTGCTGAAGCAAAGAATATGTATGTTGTTGGGGCCAAGATCCTGAACGAAAGAAGATGATGGTTATGATAACTTCAGTAAGGTAAAATAAATGCCAATATGAAATACTATATGCTTGGATAGAAAACAAAGCTGTTCCTAAGCTGTGATGCTTATCAGATCATTTTGATTGGGAAAATTGTAGTATCTTGTCTGTGATATAAAAAATGAGAAATAAGATATTCACAAACCTGATACCCGCTCTTAAGCCACCAGTCCAATCCTGTTTGTAGCACAGAAGTCTCCCTTTGAGGTCATTCTTTATCCCCCGAAAGGGAACAAATGTTTCTTCCATAATATGTCCAATACTCAGGAAACAAGAAGGAAATGAAAACCTTTCTAGTTGTTGTTTGAGATACAAGTAACCAGGCCAATAAGTGAGGTGGAAGTTCGGATCCAAATTGCAAGGTACTCGAGAGGCTGATATGGTTTCTAAATTTGCATTAGGACATATAAATATATATAGGGGCAGAGAAAGCAAGATCTCTTGATCATCATAGGATTTTGAAGGAGGAAAACAAGCGGGAAAGAAGAATGTTGATTCATTGAACTTTTGAAGTATGATAGACCCTTAATGGGGTCCAAATACAGTAGATGAGCTTTACATATCAAAGAATCGATAAAGAATGAAGTATATATTTCTATGAAGAACAAAAGAATCAATTAGTAAAATCAACTACTTAGATTCCATATTTTAGAGGAGTCAAGGATCAACGAACGGAATTCATAGTGAATTAAGAAGTTCAAAATTAACGAAATGAGCAGATACTTTCCATATGATCAGATCACAATTAGCGGTAAACTTTGACAAAGCTTAGATCCATCACCTCTCCCTTCTCTTATCAAAAAGGCCTCCTATAGTGACCAGAAGCATAAGAATGCTAAAACACAAGATACTTGGTATAAATTTCCGAGCTTTAACTGGAAAATATCACAGTCAAGATAAAAAATTAATTGAAGTTTTCAGAGCAAGAACAAGCAAATTAGCGAAAACCCATTATCAGAAACTGCACTTTTAATGGCTTAGAACAATTTGAAGCAAATTGGCATTCACAGACACAACTAAAGACTTTTTTTGCTGATAGAACAAAAGAAAATACTTGAAATTTAGCAAAACTGGACAAAGGATTTCTATGCAGCAAGATTAGCGACACGCCATGATTGGAATTAACTTAAAAATGACTTATAACACTTTTGAGCAAATGGGAATCAACCAAACAGAGAAGAGAACCAAGAAGAAGACTTTACTTGAAATCACATTATTCAAGAAAGACCCTTTGGAGCAGAAGAACACACAAAATTCAGAACTCACGGAGAATGTATAAGCTTGCAGCACCTGAGAGCAGAGTTTTATAAATGACTCAAAACCTGAGAGACTGACACTCCAATGTACCCAGAACAACAGCTACTGACTTCTTAGGCAATATATGGCAAAATAGGGAGAATCAGAGAGATTTTCGGGAACAAACTCTGAAAAAAGGATTTTCGCGTGCGTGAGATAGTGTGTGGTGACTAGACTTATATAACTCTCCCATCCCAGCACTGGAATAAAAACATACTACTTGATAGAGAGAGAGAGAGGGGGAGAGGGAGAGGGACAGTGGGAAATATAATAATTAGATAAACAAACCGTCCATTTGGTTGGAATATATATATATATAAATTATGGTTTAAGTTTCTACAAATAACCAATAATTATAAAATCCTCAACCCCATTTCCCATTTTATATACAGTTTCTGAGTATGAAGTTGAAAACTTTGCCTGAAGAAAGAAACCCAAATTCCTTTACTGTTTAAAGTGTAACCATATGTGCGAGTTTCCCCTCTTCCTTCCTAATTTTGGCAAAAAAAATAATTATCCTCTGTGTAGTCCTAAATAAATTGTAACAGTGAAATAAATATTATAACTGGTGTTATTCAGTACTTATTTGTGAATTTGTCAATAATATGAGGTTTTTGTTTTTTTTTTTGGTTTTTTGAGGATTAATTTGTATAAATATGTGGCTGTGAGGTGGGAGGGGAAGACAACAACAGTCATGCAACTGAAAGCTTTTTCTGCTGTCACAAAAGAGGCCATTAAAAAGATGGAAATTCAGGAATGAAGTGTCCAAATTAGGCTTCTTACTTGAGAGAATGACAATATACCCAAAGCCCATACAGGTGAAACACGTGTCAATATGCAAAATTTGGCTCAGAAAACCAATATTTGTAATCCACTCAACAGCCTTGAATTTTCGTTTGACACCACACTGATAATGATATAGACATTTGTTTTTCCGGTCACACATTTCATTTAATTATTAGCATTTTCTTTATTTTGACATGAAATTCCTTTTGTGTTTTTTTCTTTGGATCATTTGTAAATTCACAATTTGGCCTTTTCATTGTGAATTTTGTCCTCTTATAACAGTTCTATAAATAATCTTTGTGCTAAATATTTTATGACAATAATTAATTCATGCTAGGTTGTTTGGAGGAGCTCATCATCTAGCAATTTGGTATGTAGAAATTTTTTTTATTTTGTTTTTTGAGGATCTTTAATTATAGTGATTAAAAGTATTTTTACCCACATTAGAGATCTCGAGTTCAAATTTTTCCTCTTTAATACCGTTTGCTCTCAAAAAGCACTCTAAAGTCGTTTTCACTTTAAGGGGGGAGGAAAACCATTGTTCTTCCTCCCCCTCCCTTTCTTCCTTCCTCAATTCTCCTCTTTTCCCCAATCTTCAGAGACAAAAGGTTTCCCCTATTTATTTTCATTTTATAATGATTTTCCTCCACTCATCATAGGCGGATGCATCTCGACGTCGGATCTCCACCTGCGTTTTGATGTCGGATCTCTATTACTATCCTTTTTGCGGTTTCTTCATGTTTGGAATAAATAGCAGAGACTTTTTTGGTTTTCTGTGTAGTTTTCACATTTCATTTTGTGAGAATTTTTCACCTCTCCTTTGTGAGAGTTTTATTTGTATTGTTATGGCTTTGTTTTTTCAAGCTTTATCTTCTTCTATTGTTGTTCGAAGTTTACACTCTTAATTGGGATGCATATGTCATAGTTTCTTCGATCATGTGTGATCATTAGTGGAGGAGCCTTAGATTATCTTAATTTTGATGTTAGATTGCTCCATTATTGTAATGGGCCTTTATGGTTAGCTTATATTGTGTCATTTGTGATTAGTGACTTTTTTGGCTGAATTAATAATGCATCCCCACATTTATTTTTCCCAACAAAAAAAAAAAAAAAAAAAAAAAAAAAAAAAAAAAAAAAAAACCGTTTCCTCCAGGATGAAAAGTTCTTTTTTAGTTTATTTAGGACCATTAAGTTTTTTAGTTTTATTTCGGACTACTATGACATGATATACTAGAAAATTAACAGTGAGATCCACATTCATGGATGACTAGCAGTTGTTGAAGGCAAAAGCATCAAAAGGAACAATCACCATCACACTCTCTCAAAATTTTTGAGAGAATATGCTTATATGTTATTGTTTTACATTTTAGAGGTCAATTTCGGAAAATACAGTGTTGGTATTCTTTTTTTTATTTTTTTCCTTTGGGTACTTTCACCACCTCGTTCCGTACGTTCTAGAAATCTTGATTATATTTTAATCTTAATTTTTTTAGGCAGAAAATGTGAGATGCAATTTGAGCCATAACAATTATCAACATTTTAATCACCTTGATTAAGCTTTTAACAATTATATAAACAATTCATTTAAAATTCAATGAAGCCTTTTTAGGTGTGATATGTTGAAATCCTACATCCTTACGTACCTAATATTTGATGATGACGTGGATCAAGGTTTCGACAAGTCATATATAAATTTCCATTTAGGGATCCCTCAAATAAGCTTACTTGAGAGACACCTTGTAGGGCTCACTTTGTATTGTATACCACTAATCCAAACATCTATTTTGTAGATAATCATTCAAAGACATCTCTATAAAAAAATCACTTGAATCCGATATCATTTGACCACTCAATTGAGTTATTGAAATTTTAGTACTTTCTTGAAGCAATGTGTTCATTGAATTTATAGGACACAATTAGATGTCAAAACGGTTTCCGATTTGTCTATTTTTTGTAAGGATGATCTATGAATATAGACTTAACAAATAGATAGTTTGGATCGTTGAAAAAAAATTCGTAGAAAACCCTAAAGGGTGTCCCTCAAATAATTAAGAAATCTCTCAATAGAAATGGATTATATATATATATATATATATGAAACATTAATTCTAGGTTGAATTGATATGTCGAAAAAGTAGCCTCAAACTTCATTCTGAAAAGTTGCACTTATTCTCAGTGGCCTGGCCAATCCTATATACCTTTTTAAGATGGTCGGATATATACTCCCACTATTTGATTAATTTTATTTTTAAAAAAATAAATAATTTAAACCTAATCGAAGATGTGAATTATGACAAAAGTGTGAAAACAAATAACTTAATAACACATAAATATCCATGCATGAAGCACCATATAACATAAACAGTAAGAATATTTGAGTACAGATATGATAAGTATCTCGATCGATTCTGATATCAATAGATTTGGAATATATGTTGTTGAAAATGCTTTGCTCAATGGATTTGGTTTGGAATTGCATCTGAACTTATATTCCTAATTATTCCGGTATATGATACCTTATGTCTACCAAACCATGAGGCAAAGACGTTGCACTTCAAATGCACCAAAATTTGATAAAATTGGACAACTCAAGCCAAGATATTTTTAAGTCTCCATCCCACTTACTTTATCATATTATGCAGTTTTATGAATTATTTTGTGCGACGTGGTGTATCAATCATGGGACAAGTGAATTTGCTCGAGTTGATGTGAAGTGGATTATATTATTAACAATTTAACAATATAAAAATCTAAGATTATGCAATAAGAAAATTTTGATAAAGATGTATAATGTTCACATCGTATACCTCGCCCATATTATAATACAGTGAATATTTATTGATATTATATTGTAAAAATGGGAAATATCAACCAATTTTATCACGTAATCATCCAATAATTTCTCCTTGTGAAAGCCTTTTTTTCTTTCTTTCCTCTTCCCTCCCCCACCCCCAAACCTTTACAGCCATAAAGAGATCAACTTCTTCTAAATCTATAGAGGGAATTGGATTCAAGCCCCATACATGATATATAATATATATAACTAACTAATTAAGACAGAGAAGGATATATATATATATATATATATATGTATATATGTATGTCACCTGCAGAAACTAAGACAAAAAACCTACCTTGTATTTTAAACGAAACAACACCATCCACCAACATAAAATAAATTTTCTATAAAACTAAAAATATGTTTGAGTTGGAGGGTTTTCTGTCCGACTGACCCTTTCATGGTTGTCCTATACGGAAATCAACTCAACTCATTTCCGATGTGGGATTTGGGAGGCAAAGCACAAATCGTACACAAAAGCTCCAATACTAATTGTGGATTAACTATTTAATAAAACAAAGAGAAAGATATATTCATTTTCTTAGAGACGTAATCTCATTTTGGGTGAACGATCTGCTGTTTTTAGTATTTTTTTTCCTTTTCCGTAAATTACATTATTTTATGGGTTAATTAAAATTTCAGGTTGCATATATTGACTTTATGTTCTTATCCTCCTTGAGTTGTTATCTTGCCACCCAAAAGAGAGACTTGATTTGTTGTTTAATTAAGTTCGTGATGTCATTTGAATATATTATCTTTAAGATTTGTGGCCGCAAGAGGAAAGGCAATGCTACTTTACCCTAATACTTTACTTTAAATAAATAAATAAATAAATATATATATATATATAGAGAGAGAGAGAGAGAGAGAGAGAGAGAGAGAGAGAGAGAGAGAGAGAGAGATTTCGGTGAGAGATCCCTCAAATAAGCTTATTTGAGGAACATCCTTGTAGAGCCCACTACGTTTTGTATTTCACTAATCCAAACCGTCGAGTTTGTAGATATTCATTCAAAGATCATTTCTACAAAAAAATTACTTAAATCCGATATCATTTGAACATTCAATTAAATTATTGAAATTTGAGTACTTTCTTAAAGCGCCACATTCATTGATTTTATTGGTCTCAGTTAATGCCTTAATGATTTCAATTTGTTTGATTTTTTGCAACGATGATCTATGAATGAAGACTTTAAAAATAAACAGTTTGGATTGTTTAAAAAATAAAAAATCGTAAGATACTCTAAAAGGTATCCCTCAAATAACAGAATGATGAAACCTTGAACCTTCCATATACCCAGTGGCGGATCCAGGATTCTGTGGCCAAGGGGGCTTAGTGTAAAAGTTCCGAAATTTTTTTACAAAGAAAATAATGCTAAAAAAGCCTATTAATCCGTCATTCGAAATTTTTCCTCTACCTCAGTAGCTATACTATATTCCAACCAATCATACTCATCAAACCATTGAGCAATGAAACGTCTATTAAATCCTGATTGATTAGTTTGTGGGAATTTATAACTTCTAGGTTGACAAGGTCCCTTTTGTAGATATGCTCTTCGGATCTCATCCCGAATATTAGGACTATAATCCGTCATTCGAGGTCTTAGTCCAGGGTTTGCCTAAAGATTAGCTAATATCTCATCTACTTCAATTGGTCTTGTTGCATTTGAACTACCTGGATTAGACGGAGAAGGACTATCCGTAGATAATTTTCTTTTATAGAATCATTCCATAATTCTACAAATCAATTAATTGAATCAATCATTAATTTTTATCCAAATTATCATATGAATATGAAAATGTCAATAACCTACTCTCAATATTCACCCATATCAATCAATATTCAATATACCAAATTATCATATCAAATATCATTCAATATTTAATATACTCAATCAACAATCAAGCATAAACGCAATCAATCTAAATTATCCATCAATATGATTCATATCCATAGATTTCATTACATAAAAAAAAATATCAATATCAACAATATATTATCACTATAAATTTATTAATTTAAATTTTGACCTGTTTACTTGTACTTGAAAAAAAAGGGCGGCACAAGATGGTGGTGGTGATCGCCAATGGGCCACCGGCGAAGAGTTGATGGAGGTTGTCGGAGGTTAGGAGGTTGGGAGAGGTTAGGATTTGAGAGGGAAGCATTGGGGGACCCAAAAATTTTTTAGCGGAGGTGCAATATTGACTAAGTATGAAAAATGGTTTTTCGGAATAATCATTTTCTCAAGATAATTTTTGGCGGCTTTTATTCCTTACACATCAAATAAGAAAACTTGATTTTATGGGATTTTAATATGAAGTATATATTGACTTAATGAGCCATCATTTTTAGCATAAATCGTATTTTACACTAAAACCGAATTTTCATATTTTGATTTGGTGAGAATTTGATTTTCTAGTATTTTTATTTAAAACCAAATGGGGGGTACTTCCTTATTTACATTGTAAACTTAAGTAAATGGAGTAATATAAAAATAAATAAAAGTAAAAGGACAAAGACATTTACTTAAATGTTGAAGATGGAAATAAGGTAATCTGTACAACAGTTGAGCTCCTGTGTTTTGTTCTGGTTTTTTTTTTTTTTTTTTTTTTTATTTTATAAATTATAAAAACCTGGCCCAAAACGACGTCGTTTTGAGGCCAGGTCATTTTAAAAAAATTGACTGAGCCTTGGACCAAACGACGTCGTTTGGCAAGGCTGTTTTTAAAAAAAAAATCACACGCAGCGCGCGTGCAAGGTGCAGTGCAGCTGCGCAACAAGCTTCTCCTCCTCTTGGGACTTTCGTCGAGCGGTTGGCGTGCATCCAAGGGGCTTCCAGCAGCTATCCAAGGGGGCTTCAATGGAGTCCCTTGCCAACTTTCCAGCCTTCCAAGGGGTCGTCCGACCCCTCTTGTCCCAACGTGGATCCTCCACTGCATATACCCAACATAGATATATATATGAGCATCTTTTATTGTGTTAATTTGTTACAATATCCTTTTTATCCCCAAAGAGTATTAACATATAAAATTAAACACTTTAACATATGAAAATATTGTCCTATTCGAAGCACTTTATTCTTGCAAATGCTCTATATATAAGTCTACGATTCCAAAGTATACAATAGGAAGGTAGGGATATAGCAAAACAAAAACAAAAAAAATGAAAAATAGGGCTACCAGAGATTCCAAAGTAATCTCTACGTGCCACCATCTTTCATGTATCTCCTTTCTATTTCTGTTAATTTACAACTTTTTTCTTTTTGGTAAAGAATTCATTTACAGCTAAGTTATGTATTTATGATTTTATTTTTTTTCCTCTATTATGTGTGGATGGCTGACTGCCGTTCTCTTGTGAGTTGCTTGGATGAAATGAGTAAATTTTCCTAAAAAATTAATACCAAGTTTTCAATTTTCCAAAAATTTGCAGTGGACTGGAGCCTAACCTTGCCTAAGGGTGGTTCGTGGAGACCTCAATAATGCAATTGATTAAATAAATTACCAAATCCTGCAAATACAGACATTCAATTTCCTTTTTCATGTATTCGCTTATCAAAGTTATATAGCATGAGTCAAGAATCGTAACAATTCTGGCCTTATCCATACACATTTCGCATCATGCGCATGCATGTCCAAATAATTTAATAATTTAATTTCTATGATTCTTGAATGAATATGACGAGATGATGCATGCAAATACCTAATATGCTACAATACATCATATAAGGTCCGATTGGTTGCGTTTGTTTTCTAATATAAGAAATTTTAAAAGTATGGTGGAGGCCAAAAGCTTATGTATCTCCCTATACAGCTAGGTTTTAAAATGAAAAAGTTAGACCAATACACAAATAAAAAGCTAGGTGTTTCAAATAATTGTTACATCCATCATTCATGATTTCCAAGTTCAAAACCTTTCTCCTAAACTGCCATGACCATCAAATAATTGTTAGCAGCGACAGGATAGGCTTTGCTTCGAAAGATAAAGATTGCCGGTGTGTTCCCTGCTTGCCAATAATGTGTTTTTATGCGTCTTTGTCGGCTTATATCTGTGTTTTTGTGTGATGAAATATATTCATCTGAAACACTTTCATCACTTTGTGTGATTGATGCCACAAACTTACATGTTGTGTATTTGATTGATGCCACCTTTGTGTGAAGTAGAAAGAAATCGAACCAATGTCGAATATTGTCATTTGTATCATCTCAACTGATCATCTAGTGCACTATCTTCAATATTACAAGTGAGATTTACATAGATGGGACTCATATAAGCGAATCTCATCTTTGTTGTGGTACGTTCATTAGAATATCAATAAAGATGATATAAATAACTTTATTCTCTAGGATAATTGGCTTGACAAGGATTTCAAAAAGATTCAACAACTACTTGAGGGAGATTAATCTTGTAACTTGGAAGTCGAATCTATCAAATTTGTAGTAGCTAGCAGAGATTCAATTCGTTTGGCTCTTAATTATTTTAGTGGTCATCATCTGATTTGATGCATTTTTTTAGTGGGCAAAAGTGAAAGCAACATTTTCTTGGAGAAAACACTTTTCAGAAACTTGATTGTTTATGCTTAAGTAAGATAATTGGAAGCTCCACCAAAGTTTAAAAAGCAATATAAATTGTTGTAAAACAAGGACATCGAAGCTTCATTTTCAATACATTAGGTAATGTGTCCAAATATTTCCCCCATGAGTGATTCCAAAAGTATGAGATAAGGCCCGAGTGATGGCTCTAGCTACATCGAAAAAGAACAATATGGCTTGTTTTTTTCACCCCAAGATCAATCTTCAGGTGCAACGGTAATTTAAAATATAATTGGAGATTAATCTTCTCTCCTTTGGATAAATTTTATTCACGCTGTCTGTTTGACTTGAAACCTAACGAAGACGATAACGTGTCGAGTTGGGAACAAAGTCTATCTTCAATATAAAACCAGACGTATCCACTCCAAATATTTTGCTGGATTGGATGATAGTAGTGCGCAATGACAAGAGTAATTAACTCTCTTAATTAGACCTAACAGCGACTTAATTCGTTCACAACAGCATCATGGCATAAGAAACCAGCAAATGATTCGACCAAATTGTATGTATAGAGAGAATAATTATATACTCTACCAAATTGGGAATTGTTCTTCTTTGAATATATAATGAATGTGTTTGGTGGTATCCTTGGTTAAGGTTTTTGTAGTCACTTGGTGGAACAGAGGTCCCCTTCAATAATATTAGAATCCAATGCAATGCACAACAACAGCAGAGTTGGGTCAATGGTTAGGTTCTCAAGCTCTGCGTGGAACCCATCTAGCCAGCTAGCCACATCCTTGTAAATGATATAACATACACATCAAATAAAGTGCTTGTAAAAATAAAAAACTTGATCATCAAATATTAAAGATGAAGAAAAAGGGTTCGAAGATGATTAAGGTTGAAGATGTTGTTGCTTGATGAGAATTTTCCATCGGGTTGAGAGATTAGGAATCGGTCAATTATGTGCAAATTAATTAGTCTTCTTGAGGTTTCTGAATTTTTTTGTCCCGAATGTCTCGTTTATGATCATTACGGTAGTTCAAACTGATGATATATTTTATATTATATTTTGCTAGTCATGTGAGTAATTATAAGTCGTTGATTTAGTAAATTCTATATTAATATAGTGAAATCGATTAGTAGACATCGAAATTCCCTTATACATCGAATAGCGTTGTTGATATAGATCCTAATGATATACTAGGTCTGTATATAATTTTGTTTGGTTACATGTTTGTTGTGGCTATTTGATTTTAAGAGAGTCAAAGCTGTAGCTGGAGGCCAAGCAATGGAGACACAGAGAGGATGGCCGGTGAAAGACATGAAAGTATTTGACGGTGTTGTGTACGTACTACGTGTATAGGGCTTGGGGAAGTGGGTAGCATGTATTGTCATGATCATGAACCACCATTGAAGTGAAAGACCAGATCCCTTCAAAGATGATGATGAGTCTCCATAATATAATTATGCGACAAGGAGAGAATAGCACCACACACCCACAACCCATCGATAGTCCTTAATACAGAAAATCTAAAATTCTTTGTGCCAAATTGAATGTTCATATATATATGAATTATGAGCAATAAATAAAAAGCCATGTGGATATTCATAACAATAATGTAGCGACTCTATCTGTGCATAAGAATTGTGTGCAAATAAGCAAACAGTTCCAATTGGCCTTTTTATTTTTCTCTTATTTATATTAAATTTTTAAGAAATATTTGTTATATTATATTTTATAATTGAGCAAGTTACCGTTTTACCCCTATTATATTAATTTGCAATTATTTAGAACTTGGTTTATCAATGGTATTTTTTAGGTTTTTGAATGTTTAATCATTCTCTGCCTTTTGCTTTATATATATATATATATATATATATGACGAGACGATGCATGCAAATACCTAATATGCTACGTACACATGGGCGGAACCAAGACAAGGGTTGCCCTTGGTTGTAGCCCAGGACGGTTTGGGGAAAAAAAAACACATATAGCCTAATATTTTAGCAATAAATAAATAAATAAATATACAATTTCAACACCAATAGGCATAGTCGGGGGTCTTCCACATTTTTATTTGGTGTAAAAGTTTGTTCCAATATCAATTTTAAAAAATTTATATTAATTTGTCTCCAAAATATAAGCATTTTTCTAAATGAAATTCACCCTTTTGTGAATAATATGGCTCTAATTTCATTTTTTTTTCTTGTGTTTACAATTAGCACGATTATATGATTTAATGTATACTTTTATTTCTAGAAAAACTATAGAAAATGTAAGTACAGAAAAAATATTATCATTAGATTTTAAGCTAATAACTTTAGTTAGCCCACCCATTAAGAAATTTATAGTTCCACCCTTGTACGTACAATACATCATATAACGTCCAATTGGTTGCGGTTGCTTTCTAAAATAAGAAAACTTGTGTCAAAAGTATGGTGGAGGCCAAAATAAGAGAAGCTATATGTTTAGCTGAAAAAGCTAATTAGCGCAATGAATAAAGAAAACTGAGTTCAAATAATTGTTTGTTGCATCTCATTCATGGATTCCAAGTTTTTAAAACACTACTCCTAAATTCCATGACCATCTATAGCTTTCAGCATCGACAACAAGATATATATATATAAATATATATATGGGGACGGATCCGTGGCACCATATTTTTATACAAGTTTTAATACAATTTTTGGGCCATTAGATTACTCTACTTTTAATGGTTAAGATTAAATCAGACATGACAAATAGTTTTAATGTTTTAAATAAACAATCATTAATTTTATTTTCTCTCTCATAAAAATAAAATAAAATAAATAATTTTCTCTCTCCTCCCTTTTTTCTTGGAAACATAATCTCTTTTCTTAATAGTATCCTTTTTTTACTTGGTACTCTAATCTCTTTTCTTTCTCACGCATACCTCTCTCTCTCTCTCTCTCTCTCTCTCTCTCTCTCTCTCTCTTTCATGGGACCAAAAAAAACCTCCATCTTTTTTCACACATGGAAACTATACTTATATGCACTTGAACCAATTCTAAATCATGAGATATTTCCACGGAAGCACATGAAAAGGAGGGGATAGAGGTAGAGAGAGATTCTATTAAGTCTGATAGATCTTAGTACATACATTATCCAATCAATAGTCAGTCAGGAGTTTCGAGAGTGTAATGTGCCAGATTGAAATACCAGAAAAAGAAGTAGTGTTGGAACTATTTCATGGAAACAAACTAGGATGTCCCTAATTTTTTCGATAGCATTACGATAGTACAGTCTCGCTGCAAACGAATTTGCCTTGGTGTGCCTTATCTAGATACCTAGAAAGGCACATTGCTTTCGGGCATGCTCAGGTATCAGTCTAGACAGAAGCTCAAAAGTTGCTCCCTTCAGCTCTGCACAAGCATCATCATTCCAAACGCATTATCAGCAGCATATATATATGTACAGGGATATCAATCACAGAATTGAAGAGCAAACCTTGAGGCTTGAAGTTGAATAGAGTTGGCAAAGGGTGCCCATTAGGGAGACGAGCATTAGGATAACGGAGTTGATCAAAAAATGGGTGGACACAGGCCTCGAGCTGCCAAAATAAAGAAAATAAACAACTACATTTGATAATTTGCTATCTAATACAGACATAAGAATTTCAAGTTCAATGGAATTAAAAGTTTAATACCAATGTCCCATTAATGTCCATCATAAGAAACTGGATTCAATAGAAGATCTGAAGAACTAAATCTCATCCTTTAATTTATGCTTACAAGCTCTTCATTTAATTTATCCAAAGCATCATACTTGATTTTTGAACTCAACCTCTGCAAGAACAAAATGTCACATTAGCAATAAAATTCTCAATCACCAGCAACCAGAAATAGATATTTAAGCATATCATTGAGCATACACAATAAATAACAAAACAAAACGTATTTGTTTTAAGAAAAATGAAAATGGAATAAAAATAGAGTAGAAAATTCATACGGTTGGTTTGCAGTTACTAGAGAGAGAGAGAGGGAAAAAAGATGGAGGTTTTTTTGGTCCCAGGAAAGAGAGAGAGAGAGAGAGAGAGAGGTATGCGTGAGAAAGAAGAGAGATTAGAGTACCAAGTAAAAAGGATATTGCAAAGAAAAAAGATTATGCTTCCAAGAAAAAGGGAGGAGAGAGAAAATAAAATTAATGATTGTTTATTTAAAACATTAAAACTATTTGTCATGTCTGATTAAATCTCAACCATTAAAAGTTGAGTAATCTAATGGCTCAAAAATTGTGTCAAAAATATGGTGCCACGTATCCGCCCCCTATATATAGTCCCCTTCTATTGAGGGATCCCTCAAATAATTTTATTTGAGGGACGCCTTTTAGGGTATTCTACAATTTTTTTTTCCAATGATTTAAACCATCTATTTTTTAGGTCTTCATTCATAGATCATCCTTACAAAAAATTAGACAAATTGGAAACCGTTTTGACATCCAATTGTGTCCTACAAAATTAATGAACACGGTGCTTCAAGAAAGTACTAAAATTTTAATAACTCAATTGAATGGTCAAATGATATCGGATTCAAGTGATTTTTTGTAGAGATGATATTTGAATGTGTATCTACAAAATAGACTGTTTGGATTAGTGAAATACAATCCGGAGTGGGCCCTACAAGGGGTGTCTCTCAAATAAGCTCATTTGAGGGGTCTCTCAATGGAAGCTCTCTGTATATATATATATATATATATATATATATATATATATATAGCTTTTGCTTCTAAAGATAAGATTGTCTGTGTTTCCCTACTTGGCAATGCGTTTTTATGCGTGTTTTTTGTCAGCTTAATTATATGTGCCATTAATAAAAGATTAGTGGCTCTCAGATTTAATGGCGCAGTACGTACTATATTATACTACGTATAGATCAAACTTCTATGTTGTGAATTTGATTAATGTCGCCATTGTGTGAAGTAGCTAGAAGTCGAGGACAAACCATGTATCAATGGGCCTCGAGAGAGGATTTAGAATAGAGTATTGTTATTTGTACCATCTCAACTGATTATCTAGTGTATCATCTTTTCAATATTAAAGGTGAAACTTGCAGAGGTGGGACTCATACGGGCTAATCTCATCTTTGTTAGATTAGAAGGGTGGTACATTGGAATATATCAATTATGGGCCTGTTTGATAACCATTTCAATTTTAGTTTTTAGTTTTCATTTTTTGTGCTAGAGTATAAAGGAAAATAAGAGTGGGAATGAGAGAGAGAGAGAGAGAGAGAGAGAGAGAGAGAGAGAGAGAGAGAGAGAGAGTATGAGAGGGGAGGATGAGAGTGAGGAGTAACAAAAGTGAAAATAAAATCTTGCAAGGGAAAACAATTTGAAATAGATTTCAGTTTTTAGTTTATGTTTTCACTTTCATTACTTCTCCCTCCCATCCTCTCCTCTCATCTTCCCTCTCAATCCCATTTACACTCTCACTCTCACTTCCACTCTCCCTCTTTTTCCTCTATACTCTAGCTTAAAAAAATAAAAACTAAAAACTAAGAACTAAAATTGAAATGGTTATCAAACGGCTCTAAGATAATACAAATAACTTTACTCTTTCTCTTTAGGATGATTGGCTTAACAAGAATTTAAAAAAGATTCAACAACAACTTGAGGGGAGATTCTAAATAATAGTTTTGAAGAACTACAAACTTGTTACTTGGAAGTCGAGTCTATCACATTTGTAGTAGCTTAGCTAGAAGCTTAAATTCGTCTGCCTCTAGATTGTTTCAGTGGTCATTTGATTTGATGCAATTTTTTAGTGGGCAAAAGAAATTGTCTCTCACTATGAAAGCAACATTTTCTTGGACGAACACTTTTCAGGGTGTAGCTGCAGTTAGGAGCTTGATTGTTTATGCGTAAGCAAAAATAATTGGAAGCTCCACCAAAGTTAAAAAAGTAATAAATTTTTGTTATTAAAAAAAAGGGACATCGAAGCTTCATTTTCAATATATTAGGTCATGTCCTAATATTGCCGTTTCCCCCCATGATGAACGATAACGTCTCGATCGAATTGGGAACAAAGTCTTCAATATAAAACCACTCCAAAGCTTTTGCTGGATGGATCATAACGAGGATATTTTTTTTCCTAAAGTTTAAAAATTAATCATTGATATGAATGTAAGAATGATGGTGGTGCGCAATGACAAGAGTAATTAACTCTCCTAATTAGACCTAATAGCGATTTAATTTGTTCACAACAGCATCATGGCATAAAAAACCAACCAATGATTCGACCACACGTTACTTTTAATTGTATATATATAGAGAATAATTATATACTCTACCAAATTGGGGGTGGTTCTTCTTTGAATGTATATGAATGTGTTTGGTGGTATTTTTTTATGCAGCGTGATAATATATAGAGGCAATCAAACAAAGGTCTGGAATCCACCAGATATGAGAAAACCTCAAGTTTATTGAATTCAAAATGATAACATTATGCCTTAGTTACGGGCTAAAGTTGGTTTAAAGACTCCTATAAATCCTAGGAAATCCAAAGGAAGTAGAAAGGAAAATTCACAAAAGTTTTCCAAAAACTAGTAAAATATTAAAACGCAGTTTTGGGCTACTAAATGATCTAAAACGCCCGAAAAAGTCCATATGTCATGAAAAAGCGATGAGTTTAACTCGTGATGCCATTCTTTTTGAAATGACGAGTTATGAACCCAAATATGAGCTCAAAGCCCAAACTAGCAGCTTCCCGATTTTGCCTTTTCACGCGCAACTCTCCAACCTCTTCTATCGCCTCAATCATCAGTTCTACATCATCTTTGGTTAAGGTTTTTGGAGTCACTTGGTGGAATGGAGGTCCCCTTCAATAATATTTGATACCAGTACAATAAAACCAACAGAGTTTCCTATAGATGTTAGGTCAATGGTTAGGTTCTTAAGCTCTGTGGAACACATCTAGCCAGCTAGCCACATCCTTGTCATACACGTCAAATAAAGTGCTTATAGAAAGAAAAAAAATGATCATCAAATATTAAATATAAAGAGAAAGGGTTCGAAGATGATTAAGGTTGAAGATAAAATTGTTTGATGAGAATTTGCCATCGGGCTGAGAGATTAGGTATGACTAAAATAAAAATTACTTGCAAAAAATACGACTATTCACCGTATTCTAAGGTCTTGGCCATCTAGCCACATATATGTGCAAATTAATTAGTTTTCTTGAGGTTTCTGAAATTTTTGTCCCGACTGTCTCGTTTATGATCATTATGTAGGTAAAATAAGACAGCAATATGCAGGTACTTTCATGCAGATATGACAACTTCATTTTCTAACTATAGCCAGTTCAAATGTGTCACTCAGGCTTTCCATTTTTGGTCTTATGATAGTCATATGTGAGTAATTGTAAGTTGTTATTCACTATAATAGATATCGAAATTTGCTTCTACAACGGATAGCATTGTCGATATATAGATCCTAATCATGTACCATGTCAGTATATAATTTTGTTTGGTTACATGTTTGTGGCTACTTGATTTTAAGAGAGTCAATGTTGTAGCTGGAGGAGGAATATCCAAGTTGTCTCAAGACAATCTGAGAGTCCAAACAAAATGGAAAGTAAAAGGCCAAGCAATGAAGAAAGAGAAGACAGCCGGTGAAAGACATGAAAGGATTTGATGGTGTTGTGTTATGTACGTACTACACCGTCGTATAGCACTTAGGGCAGTAGCAGTAGGTAGCATACATTGTCATGAACCACCATTGAAGTGAAAGACCATTGATGAGTCTCCATAATATTATTATGCGACAAAGAGGGAATAGCACCACACCCACAACCCACCCTCGTCCTTAATACAGAAAATCTAAAATTATTTGTGCCAAATTGACTGTTCATTATGAATTATGAGCAATAAAAATAAAAAGCCCCATGTGAATATTGTAAGAATATTGTAAGTTTGGAATGAATAAACATAGCAATCATGTAGACCCTGTGCATATGAATTGTGTGCAAATAAGCAACAATTTTGTGACTTCTGACATAATGTTCATTTGGAAAACAAGAAGAAGAAAGAATCTACCATATAACACTCCAACCTTTTGGTTTTCTTACTTACACATTATATTTCAGTGTGGATAGTTTGTTTTTTTAAGATATTAGGGGAAACTATAAATTTTTTTAGATGATGTATCAAAAACTATATAAACATTACTATGTCAGTAAATCAAGATTAGATTACTCATGTTTTCTTTATTTATCAAAAGCAAAGATAACTTTTACAGGGATTTGAGAGGAAGAAAGGATAACTTAGTTCTTAACTCTAGAAAAATCACCAAATGTTGAGTGATTTTCTCCATTACTCACATCGTACATGACAACTCTTACTGATGTTCATTATCTAACCCATCTTCATCATCAAGAATTTAACTTCTGCTTGAGGCGCAGAAGAAACCGCTCAATTGAATCACCTCCTTTCTGAGTAGTTTGCAATTCGGTATTCAAATTATTAGAAGGATTCATCCAAGCTTCACAAACAGTTTTGTTACCAATCACATATTTGATATAGCTTCATCAGAAAGTCAAGCAAATTAACACCTAAAATACGTACGTGTTTTATTTAGCAAAATTTTGGCAAATTACGACCTAAATGTTCGGCCACTATATTATGTTTTAATATAAATTATTTACATTTTTTAATGAATATTATTTTTATTCAATAATATGTG